ATTATGAAATCAGATGACTGGATGAAATGGATGGGTTATCCTAGGGACCTACCCTCTTCCCTCATGGGAAGTTAAAGATTTGCAGGCTAGGTGAAAAGAAAAAGAAAAGTATACTGTTTCCTACTAACAGATAATGGAAGCAGGCCAAAAATATATCTGAGACGTGCAAATAAAAATGAGTATCATACAAAGGATCTGTCCAGGCTCCCCCCTCCAAAAGAAGCACAAATAGGACCAAGTAGAATCTGTTTACTATGTTTTTAAGAAACAAAGAGCCGAAGCCGGTTTGGTTCAGTGGATAGAGCGTCGGCCTGGGGACTGAAGGGTCCCAGGTTCGATTCCGGTCAAGGGCATGTACCTGGGTTGCGGGCACATCCCCGGTGATCGATGTTTCTCTCTCATCGATGTTTCTAACTCTCTATCTCTCTCCCTTTCTCTCTGTAAAAAATCAATAAAATATATTAAAAAAAAAAAAAGAAACAAAGAGAAATTTTTGGAAAGTATCTGCCAAAACCCAGGAGGTGCAGATGGATCTGAGGAAGGATGAAAGGCAAGAACAGAAAAGGCCCTGGGAAATGAGCAGAGACTTTCTCTCTCTCTCTCTCTCTCTCTCTCTCTCTCTCTCTCTCTCTCTCTCTCATATTGCCTGTTTATTTTAACTTAAGTAACAGATGTGATCCATTGCTTAGTTTACTGCAAAACTGAGAATATAATTTTACCGGGTATTTTTTAAGAGGGAAAAAAAATAATTTATATTGTTGTTTAAGAAACCTATTTTTCTTGTCTTCTGTGGGGTACTATTTACAGTGATCATGCCTTATTGGAAGGGGTGGAGGGGCCACATTTTACTTATAGAAAAACCGAGGCTACATTTGGAGACATTTATTTTATTTTATTTTCTATGTTTTGTGTATATTGTCATAGGTATTATGCAAAATAAGTTAGCCATATTAAACTTTCAAGTGTTAACTAACAATGATAATGACTGCTTGGGAGTATCCTTATATTAAGAAAAATTAATTGCAGCCAGCAGCTCATGTAAGCATATAAATAGAAAATACATACCAGCAAATATTCCTTCAGATGACTTGGGTTGTTTTGTTTTGGTTTGTTTTGGGTTTCCTCTTCATGGAGGTGTCCTTTAAAGCAGTGATTTTTAAAGCATGCAATGTCTGACTATTTAGTCAGGGGCACTGAACTCTTTTTATTTTTTTAATTGAACTTACTGGGGTGGCATTGGTTAATGAATTTTTATAGTTTCAAGTGTACAATTCTATAATACATCATCTGTATATTGTATCATGTGTTCACCATCCCAAGTCAAGTCTCCTTCCATCACCATTTATCTTCCCTTACCCTCTTCTCCCTTCCCCTTGCCCCTTCCCTCTGGTAATCACCACACTGTTTTCTGTATCTATGAGTTTGGGGTGACGGTTGCTTAATCCCTTCACCTTTTGTACCCAGTCCCCCAACCCACTTCCCCTCTGACAGCTGTCAGTCTGTTCTCTGTATCTATAAGTCTTTTTCTCTTTTATTTGTTAGTTCATTTTGCTCATTAGATTCCACATATTAGTGAAATCATATGTTACTTGTTTTTCTCTGACTAGCTTATTTCACTTAGCACAATGTTCTCCAGGTCTATTCATGCTGTTGCAAAGGGTACAATTTCTTTCTTTTTTACGGCCCAGTCGTATTCCATTGTATAAACAGGCTGCTTCCAATAGAAGGAGCATACTTCAACATAATAAGGCCATATATGACAAACCCACAGCCAACATCATACTCAGTGGACAAAAACTACAAGCTTTCCCCTTAAGATGGGGAGCAAGACAGGGATGTCTGCTTGCACCACTCTTATTCGACATAGTTCTGGAAATTTAGCTACAGCAATCAGACCAGAAGAAGAAATAAAAGACATCCAAACTGGAAAGGAAGAAGTAAAACTGCCATTATTTGCAAGATGATATGATACTGTATATAGAGAACCCTAAAGAATCCACCAAAAAACTACTAGAACTGATCAATGAATTCAGTAAAGTATCAGGATACAAAATAAATATCCAGAAATCAGTTGCATTTTTATATATCAATGAACTAGTATAAAGGGAAACTAAGAAAACAATCCCATTTGCAATTGCTTAAAAAACAAACAAACAAAAAACCTAGGGCCCAGCCGTTGTGGCTCAGTGGTTGAGCTTCAGCCTCTGAACCAGAAAGTCACGATTTGATTCCTATTCAGGGCACATGCCCAGGTTGCAGGCTTGATCCCCAGTGTGGGTGTGCAGGAGGCAGTTGATCAATGATTCTCTCTCATCATTGATGTTTCTCTCTCTCTCCCTCTCTCTCTCTCTCCTTCCCTCCCTCCCTCTCCTCTCTAAAATAATAATAATAATAATAATAATAATAATAATAATAATAATAAACACATTTTAAAAGCCACCTAGGAATAAATCTCACCGGTCTCTCTATCTGGTTAAATAGGCTGCTGGGCCAATTCATTCTTCTCTCGTTGCAGATCAGGTATTTCTTCATTTGCACACACAGTGTTGAGGGCTGCACCAGGTCCCACACTAACAGTTACTCTCAATCCCAGCCAAATATTTTAGCCCAATGCAAAGCCCATCACATGAAATCTATATGGCTTCCAGCACTGGAGAATATTGCTACAAAACATAAGCAAAAGGCAAGGGGAATTGTAAAAAGTGAGGCAGCATAGCATTTACTTGATCTCACAGACGGTTCTAACCAGTTACTCACCGGTTTTGTGAATTCAGGCAAGTAATTTCAACTCTGTAGGCCTCACTTTTCTTACCTGTAAAGTGGGGGTGATTATAATAGTGCCTGCCACGTGAGATTATTATCTTGATTACATGTGTTAATATTTAAGTGTGTTTTGCACATAGAAAATGCCATGTGTGATTGCTAAGTAATACAGCAGTGGTCGGCAAACTCATTAGTCAACAGAGCCAAATATCTACAGTACAATGATTGAAATTTCTTTTGAGAGCCAAATGTTTTAAACTTAAACTATATAGGTAGGTACATTGTTATTAACTTCACTAGGGTACTCCTGAGGCTTAGGAAGAGCCACACTCAAGGGGCCAAAGAGCCGCATGTGGCTCGTGAGCCGCAGTTTGCCGACCACGGCATTAGGGTATAAATTGCCATTCCACTTTTGAAATCCCAGTAAGATTCTTCTTTCCTTTTTACTTTTTAAATTTTATTGATTTTGGAGAAGAAGGTATAGGGAGAGAGAGACAGAAACATCAATGATGAGAGAGAATTATTGGTGGGCTGCCTCCTACACGCCCCCCACCACTGGGGATCGAGCCTGCAACCCCGCAGGTGCCCTGACCGGGAATTGAACTGTGACCTCCTGGTTCATAGGTCAACGCTCAACCACTGAGCCACACCGACCGAACAAAACTCTCTTTTTAAGTTGGCAAGCTAATACTGAAGATTATTTAGAAGAGTGAAGACATATGACTTGATCAAGACAACATTGACAAAGAAGGTTAATGAGGGTGGGCTTGTTATGCCTCCGTTCTGCAGAGGTTGCATGTGAAGAATGAGGACACCACACTGAAGGAGAAGAATAGAGTCTAGAAGCCAGCCAGGTCCAGAACACACATCCTACATTCAAAGTTCGAGGGGGAAAAAAGTTACTGAAAACAGTTTCCTGAAGTATGTTCTCCGAGCACAAAATGTGGGCGATGTTATTAAACGTGATCATTTTGTATTTTCTACAGAAGACGGCAGACATACAGAAACCATCAGAAATGGCGAGTGTTGTTTTTTTTTAATGTCTCACTGTCTCATGAATGAATGAGTTCAACCTGCTTCTCCTCGGCTTACTGAGCAATTTCTGAACTCGTGGAGTTAACCGAAGGGTAAACATAATTGGCTACATATCGAAGGGCAATAGGTAAGGAAGACTTCCCTGTGGTTTGCGTGGACGAGGGGGCACAGAGGAGTCTGTTGCCCTGAGAATTGCATGCCTAGCACTTTGCTTCGCCTTCAACTGTGTGCTTAGGAAGTAATTGCAGCCCAGAACTCAGACTTACTGCCTGCAAGCAGAAAGGTAGCGGTCCTTGCTTTTTGTCTTCAGCTAAAGACAAACTTTATGAATTCCAAGAAGCTTTGGAACAGCGTTGTCTTCAAGTTACATGAGATGCTAAAAAAGAAAGAAAGAAAAAAGGCAGAATGGCAGCTCCTACCTGTTAAAAATGTTTGGTAAACAATATGGAAACTAGGACATACTAAAAATCTATAGTTGCTGATAGAGGAAGTAGTTTGTTTTCTGGGACTTGTTGCAGAAGTAGCCAGCATATGGAGTGCAGTTCTTATCTTAGTTTTATGACATGGCTCTAAGTCCATCCTATTTTGCACTTGGAGAAAGATGCTGCCGTTAGCGGGCATGCAGTGCAACAAAACTATATTCTCCGTGTACAAAATGCGGGCGATGTTATTAAACGTGATCATTTTGTATTTTCTACAGAAGACAGCGGACATACAGAAACAATCAGAAATGTGTTTTAATGCTTGACAGTCTCATGCATGAATGAGTTCATTTTGTTACCCTGAAAAAAAAAAAATCACTTTGCTTCATTGCCATATTTCTCGGTCCAGGTTTGAAGAACCCAATTTCAGTGGAAGGTTTGGAGCTACTTTCTGACTTGATTGGTATATTTCTAGCTATTTTTTAAAATCTCCCCCACCCCCTGCCCCTACTTCTTTCTGCTCTGCTCTGCACTGCCTCTAATGTTTCTTTAAAAGATTGGAGGCTCTGCGGGGAAAGGGAGTGGAAATCCCATTAAGGCCTTGTATGAAAAAGCTAATGGAGAAAGACTAAAACCTTTTGGGTTTGACAGTACCTAATGTTTTGTTCTGTCCAGCCAGCCATCTGCAACTCCACACTCCCTGCTGAGGAACTGGCCGGGAGACAAAGCAATGGAAAACGGTGAAGGAGTCGCCCCCGTGATGTGAGCAGAGAGCTTTTGGCAGTAGCCCCGCTGAATTAAGACCACAATCCTTTTCGGAAATCAGTCTAAAACGAACTCTTCACAATAAACATGAAATTAAAAGCATGATGTACCAGTGACTCAGAAGGAATGTGAGCGCTTCTCCAGGAACTGCCAAGTCCCCGTGGACGAACCGTGTCTGGATGATCATTCCAGATTTCCTCCGAGTAAGTGAACCTCTAACCCTGTGGTGTTGCCTATGGAAATATCACCTACGACTTCCAACGGGAAATGCCAAACATTTGGATGGAAACTATTAAGTGCAGTAAGTTATTAATGACTCCTTTTGATTTGTCAAATCATCTGAGTAGTTTCTATTGTAAGGCTAAATAATCTGTTGAAGAACTAAGACTTTTTTTCCCCCCTTTTCTCATTTTTACCCCGTAACTAAAGCATATTTGGACCAAATGACATATATTAGCTAATAGGCTATTGGAGAAATGGAAAGAAATGTAACTTTCTGCTCCCTCTTTGCAAGTAGGAGTTACTTCCTACGTTATTAGACTTAATTCCTTTTTTGTTTGTTTTCAGTGTTACTGCCAGAGGATTTGTAAGCATGGGGGGGTGGAGTGGGGGTGAAGGTGGAGGCAGGGCAGGGGGGACTACATGATTTTCAGAGTTTTGAATTGTGTTAACTGGCTTGAGAATATTTTCATCAAGAAAACTCAGGGCAATGTTTTTATGGACCTTTGTGGATCATGCTAAATACATAAGAATTTTGATCTGATGTATTGTGCAATGCATTGATGTTCTAAATACGAGGAATTCTGGCAGGAAGTGACTGGGTTTTTATAGCCAAGTTATTCTTTCTAGATCACATGATTTTTGGAGCAATTTAAGCTAGTTAGATGTTTTGTGCTACTATATGGAGAGTTGTATTTTTTTTTCCTGGCATTTACATCAGGAGGTGCTGGCGGGGGGTGGGATGGGGGGCGTGTGTGTGTGGGGGGGAAATAGTGTTAACAGTGAGAGACAAAGAGCCAAATGATGACACTTAGATCATGTCCATTATTCGTCTATTCATAAATAATTGTCAGCACATGCACTAATCACAGGAAGAAAGAATCGGCAATATATTTAACCCTTTGATACCGTGGTTTACCACGACAGTGATGTCCCGATCTGAACTGCTGCTGTTGGTGTCAGGTGGGTCCTCTCGGCTGTCGCTGCTGCTCCGGTGCAGTAATATCAGGAGCTCATCCCCGTGGCTTCCGAATCCTGTTCATTCCCAGACAGTTGTTAAACATAAACGCATGCCCTCCTGTGTTCCACAAACAACACTTCGTAGAAGGAACCTCCAGCAACTACTTCTGTCCCCATGCTCTTTTTTTAAATTATTATTATTAAATTTTATTGGAGTGATGTTGGTCAACATGAACATATAGGTTCCATGTGTGGATTTCTAAGTTACAAAATCTGTATAGAGCACCCTGTGCCCACCACCGAAAGGCAAATCTTCTTTCACCTCATATTAGGACCCCTTTCTCCGCCCACCCCTCTCCCCCTGGCAACCACCACACTGCTGTTTGTGTGCATAAGTTTCAGTTTTATATCCCACATATGAGTGAAATCATACGGTTCTTAGCGTTTTCTGTCTGACTTATTTCACTCAGCATAATGCTCTCAAGGTCCCACGGCGCTGGCCTTAGACTGTCAGGATTTCTTCCCGTCTTGTGCCCCATCCTCCTTTCATGCTCCTGTATCCGTTTTCTTTTTCAAATGACCACATACCTAACGGAGTCAAACAAGACAGATGTATCATCTCAGAGTTGGGGAGGTAAGATGCGTGCAGTGAGTCACACTGGACTACAGTGAGGTGTTGGCAGGGCTGCGTTCCTTGCTGGAAGACATAGGGAAGGATCTGTTTTCTTGCTTAAAACTTAGCGGCTGCCCCATTGCCTGGCTCATGCCCTTTTTCCTCCGTCTTCAAAGCCAGCAGTGGATTGCATCCTTCGTCTGCGGTTAAGGACCCTTGTGATGACATTGGGCCCGCCCCGATAATCCATGATTAGTTCCCTGATTTCAAGTCAGTGGCTTAGCAGACCTACTCCCATCTTACTCCACACCTTAATTCTCCTTTGCCATGGCACAAATTCCAGGACTAGAACAGGACCATTATTCCATGCAAGCTTGTGGGGACAAAACTTGACTTTGTGAAACTCTAGTTTTTGTCAGTCCATGAGGAGTCAATACAAATTATGTCTAATCATTTTGAAAATTGTGATTTCTTTCAACACTGCACATGAACATCCCTTTTGTCTGTCTTTGAGCTTTTCAGTTCCCTTCTTTGCTACGCAAGCACTTGGAAACAGCGGTTATAGTTCTTTTTAGATTGATTGCACAGTGTTCCCTATTTCACACCTTTACATTTACTTCCTAATTTTTAAACAAACAGGTCAGAATGAGCAAGAGGCAAATCAGCGTGAAGCAGTCTAGCCTTTAAAGTTCTCTTCCATCAGTCCTTGCCTTTCAGACTTAGACAGCAATAGAACATTCTTCCCAGCAATATAGCATAATTAGGCTCTATCTCTGGCATTCACCTGCCCCCATTTGAATTGCCTCCTGAATACCAGCAGGGGGCAGCATGGGCAAGATCAGGATTTTAGTCCTTGAACCTAATAGCCAAGAGCAAGCTCATTTGTAAAATGAGGGGAAGAGAAAATAGCGACCCTGGGATTGCCATCCTCGTTAAATACGGCACCAAAGGAGGCTGCCACTACCTTGAAAACGCATGTTTCATTGGCTAAATAGCCTTGTGCTCCAAGCACAGTCCTTGTAACATTTCCTGGGCCAATTCCCCCTCTTAACATGTTGGGTTTGTTAATTAAGATTAGGTCTTATGTTTTCTTTATCAACTAAGATAATTCATGGCTGTTCACACTCTACACATCTCAGAGTCTTTTTGTTATTCTGCTTTATGGGAAAATAATGAGATATGCTCTCTGCAAGGCATCTATGTAGCTCATTCTGGGAAATATACTACTGGTTCTTAGGCTGCACTAAGATGACCATATAAATAATGACATTCCACCGCTGCTGACCAGGTAGAGTGTCATATCTGAATTCTGCTGCCTTCATTAGGTTTGAAGTGATCAGTGAATGGCCATTAGACAGATAGGTCCTGAATTTTTGTGGTTATATAGGTTCTAGACTAGAATTAGAATGCTCTCTGCAAACAGCTCTATAAAGAGTTGCTGTGGACTTGGCCCCCGTATTGGAAATGGACAATCAGGCCCAATGGTGGATCTGTGGTAAGCCTGAAGGCTAGTTATCTCTTCCTGCAAGTCTAGGCACTTATGTGGATTAGCCCCAAGGCCAAGGTTGAACCCATAAAAAGAAGGGATTGGGTAATTGTTTTCTACTGACAACAGCAGAATAACATAGATGCCTGCAAATAATTATGCCTATATTGCCTAGGATGCATTTCCAGTTCAAGAACCTCCTAGCGCAAATTCATCTGATCCGTGTATCCCCTGTCAGTTCACCCCCATCCTTATTGCTGCCTCCCACCTCTCCATTCATATGCGTGGCTGAATATGCAAGGCTGAGATTTATATGCATCACAGACCTGATGGTTATTTGGGGTGCTCTTTTCTACTAGACCGTCTACTTTGTAAGAATCAAAGCATGGTATGGCGTTAAATCATAATCTAGTTTTATTGCAAATAGATTTTCTTCAGCATTCTTCTTTAGTTTTGTCTATTTTGGTAGGTATCTCTTAGGGAAATAGAGCAAATTGCTTTTTCAATTCCACCTCACAGATATTAGGCTGATTTTTATTTCATTACAAACTGTTTACTTCCTCCTGAACTACCCCATTCCTATTCTGTCAACTTGATTCTTTATAGACTCTTTCTTTTATCCTTTAATTTCAAACATTTATTTTTTTTATATTTCCTTGTCATTATATTTGGTACTTAAAAGAGCCTTTAGGAAAATATGCATGTCTTCCCACTACCTTGAAAAATTATTTCCATTTTATTTTTTACAATGTATTTTTTATAATACATACTTTTTGCAATTGTATTTTCTTTTTTTTTTCTTTTGGATATCACTTCACCTAATACTTTACTTTTTATTGTTTTTTCCCTCATTTTAGATATTTTTAATCTCATTATTTTCAAATATGTTTGAATTTTTTTTGAAAAATTGGAAGGATTGCAAATTCTTTGTATCATGAAAGATGTTATGGTCTTAATTACTTTAGGGGAAATATTTAGTATGATATTTGCTTTAGCTCCTTTTTAACTTTCTTCTTGAATTTCATTATGGTCATTAAATGGAAGATTTTAAATTTTTCTTCTGTTTATTATAATACAGTTTTCTTTGTAAATAGTATATATTTTCTTTGCCTTTGGGGGTAATCGGCCTTTCTTTATGTTCCAGCATTTGGGGCTTCCGATAACAACTGTGCAAACTGAAGTCTGTGGATAAACGCGTGAGTGGATCCCTCCTAGAGCTCCTCACCGCCAGTTGGGATGCTGGTAGAATCTCTGATCTTGCATGGAAGTGGCCCCTGATCCACACACTCCCCAGATGAATTTCTACCACAGCATGGCAGTTGGTTCAGCGTGAGGGCTCCAGAACTTGACCCTCTGGGCACAAGCCCTGGTTGTGTCACCTTTAAGCTGAGTGGGGAGAGTCACTTTGCCTCTCTGTGCCTTATCTTCTTCATCTGTAAAATGGGGAGAATAATAAGGTCTATCCCAAAGGTTTACTGTGAGGATTACACTAATTAATTCTTATAAATGCTTAGAACTGCCTGGAACATATAAACCATCATTAGAAGTTAGATATTATTTTCTTTCCAGTATCCTATGTTCAAACTACTTCCAATCTCTCTTTTTTCCAGCCTTAATGAACAATCTGAAATTCTCTGAAATTTCACGAGAATTTTTTATCTACTTGCTTTTGGATTTTGTTGCTGTTGTTTTCTCATTTAATGGTTGGCATGGAACTTTTTTGAACTTTACTTATAAAAGGTGGATAAAGAACTAATTAATTATACTTTTGATTTCATGGCACACAGCACGATTGGTTCAAACAAAACCCTTATCTTGTTTTGGTTATTTATTTCCTTAAATTTACAGCTCCCACTTTATACCCAAACTCCATTTCCACTTCCCACTGCCAGAGGTAACCTTTTCATTGTACTTGATAACCATCCTTTAGTTCCTGGATATTCCTAGAAAATATATATGGCATGAAGTGCTAATTAATATAAATGAGGTTGTGATATAACTCTCAACATTGTCTTACTTTTAAAAAAATGGCACTATGTTTTTTTAAAGATCTCTTTATGTTACTATGCAGATACCAACCCATTGCTTCTGAACCCTACATGCTTTATGGACTATATTGATTAAAATTTGTTTCACAACACCATGCCACCATAGTGCCCATTATGAAGAGCATCTTCGTAGAGGTCCCCTTGAGGGCTCCTGTGAAAATTTCCTGGGCACTTGTACCCCGCAGCTGAATTGTCTGATGGCAGTAGTAACAAATTGGGAATGAATCACTCAAAAGGCTGTGTGAGTCTATACTCCCACCAGCAGTACTTAAAGTTCCTGTGTCCCCATTAGAAAGCTGAACAGTGCAAGGTTGTGGGGAGAAAACTTGACTCTATGAAACTCTCTAATTTTTGTCAGTCCATGAGGAGTCAATACAAATTATGTCTAATCATTTTGAAAATTGTGATTTCTTTCAACACTGCACATGAACATCCCTTTGTCTGTCTTAGAGCTTTTCAGCTCCCTTCTTTGCTATGCAAGCACTTGGAAACAGATGTTATGATATTTCTCTTCAGCTTTATTGCACAATGTTCCCTATTTCACACCTTTACATTTACGTCCTAATTTTTAAATAAACAGGTCAGAATGAGCAAGAGGCACATCAGCGTGGGTCAGCAAACATGGGCCCTTCTCTGCAAGAATTTTCTTAAAAAATGGAGGATGAAGAGAGAAACCTTCTTGGTATGGTTCAGGGTCTATGTGTTTGTCTTCATATGGAGAAAAGGAAAAAGTATTTGATCAGGCAGCACAAATACTGTGTCTTCATTATTTAATGTTTCAGATAGATTCTATTTCTAACAGACTTTTTTTTTTAAATTCTGGACTTTGCTATTATTTCAAATAAGATTCCTTTAAAAAATATTATATGTCTTAAGGCATTTGAAAAGTAATTCATATTTAGAAACTCCATGAAAAATAACACCACATCTTTACACTGCAGAGATAACAATTCTTAGCATCTAAACTCATTTGAAACTCATGAAGGCATAGGTACACAAGTTCAGGGTTAAAGTCAAAGAAACAGGCAACATTTAATCCAGAATTAATCCAGAAATCAGGATGAAGTTTTAAAAAAGCATCCAAAAGACGAAGTGTAGCACTTCCAAACAGTTGTATTATGGATACGGATGATGTCAATTGGAAACAAATAATGGGTATATATACAACTAAGAGGGAAAGAAAGTGCATTTTGAACTTTTGCTTCTATTAGGATAGTATTTATTTTTTTCTAATCATAAGAATGATTAGATATACTTTGTGTAGAAAATTCAGTAAATTTAGAAAAATATATTAAATACATTAAAAATCATAAAATATCCATTGATCAAAGGATGATATATTAATATTTGATCTTATGGACATTGTGTGTGTTCTTTCAACCAATATGTATTGAATACTTCAGTTAGCAAGAATAAGGTCTATAAAATTCCTGCATGGAGTAAAGGATCATATGAATATAAAAGTTAGATGCTACTCTAGATAGATGTTTTGCTATCATCATTTTAATTATTCATATAAGCACTGTATCTGGTAATTTATCTACCTGACTAGATAGATTAGGGTAGATATAGGCCAACACACATAGCTGAAATAAGAACATATGGTGAATATTATCTTTTAAGGGACATGTGTTTAGAATTAAAACTAAATATTAAAGTGTGTTCTTAACACAGGACTTCACATGCATTCTGTTGCATCTCCAATTCCAGATGCAACAGAATGACAAAGACTTTTAAGATCTGTCTTTATGAGCAATATGTTGGAACTATTTTTTGCACATACAGGTAGCAGAAGATAAAAGTATGACCTTGCTCTTGTTGATCACTGGTTCTCTTTTTCATGCCACCTAATATTTCTTTATCATTGTCACTCAGGTTTCCACATGACTATAAATCATTAGGCCATTCATGAAGCAATCTAGCCTTTAAAACTTGCATTGAAGTATGATAAACTTAGATTCTCAATTATAATTGGAACCAGAGGCCCGGTGTACAAATTCATGCACCGGTGGGGTCCCTCGGCCTGGCCTTTGGGGTCAGGCTGAAACTGGCTCTTCAACATTTCCTGGGGGGGTCCCGGATTCTGAAAGGATGCAGGCCAGGCCAAGGGACCCCACCAGTGCATGATTGGGGCCAGGGAGGGACGCGGAGGTTGGCCAGCCGGGGAGGGGCTGCAGGAGGGCTCCAGAGCATGTCCAGCCCATCTAGCTCAGTCCTGATCAGCCAGATCCTAGCAGCAAGCTAACCTACCAGTTGGAGGGTCTACCCCCTAGTGGTCAGTGCACGTCATAGCAACTAGTCCCCTGGTGGTCAGTGCACATCAAAGGGAGCGGTTGAGCGGCCTTAGCATATCATTAGCATATTACGCTTTGATTGGTTGAAGGGACGACCGGACACTTAGCACATTAGGCTTTTATTTTATAGGATGGATGCTACAACTCCATCTTGAAAGATGAAGTGCACATTTCAAAACGGGCAGATTAGAGGATAAGAAATTTGGGAGAGTTCAAGACTGGGAGAGAGGAAAAATGGAATCTGAGCTACATAAAAATTTAAGTGTTTAAATTTGTTCGGGAATGATCTATCTGTGGTTGAACAGCTATTGATTTGCTCCATCTTCTCTTGTTGCTGTGCAGGAATGGTTTTTCTCATTTCTCCTGGTGTTATTTGCATACCTGTTTTCTTCCACTATACATTACACTGATAACTTTCCTCAAGTGCCTGCAATATATCTGGGGCGTGTAGATCATTTTAATGATTCGAATTACGTTATTGCATTTGCACCCGAATCCAAAACTACCCAGGAGATCATGAGCAAAGTAGCATCAGCCCCATTTATGAAAGGTACGTGCTCCAGAAATTCACGGTAAATTTCTTGTTGGCAAAATACACAAATTCATTTTAAAATTCTTTTGATAAACTGTGTTAAATGTTTAAGTTTCTAGATTTAATTCACGACATTAATGCATATTCCTTTCTGATATCAAGGAGATTTTCTTACTGTATTTACTACTCTCCTATATTAGGAAATGTTATGTTAAGTGGGTTTTCCTTTGTATAGTCCATATTAAAATGAGGTAGTCCAGGGTTATTCAAATGTATGTTTGTGAGAAGATTCCATAAAGGTTGATCAATGGTGACAGCATGGTTTTTTAATCTCTTGAAATGCATAAAAATTGAGAGAGAAATTAGACAGAAAAACTCAGAAAGCATGGACAGTGTTCACAACAAAATAGGTGAAAAGGTGTTTCCTTGGACCTCCAGATATAAGTGAAGGGGGAAGAAGCCCTAATAGCCACAAGGCTTGCTGTAGGGTATCTAATGGGCCCCGAGAAGAGAATAAGAACCCCTTAAGAAAGAGCCAGTAACCACTGCAAAGAGAGGGCCAATTTGAGAATGATTAAAACCATTTTTAGTAATTAGGTTGGTGCTGTAGTTTTAGAATGTTATTCTGAGGCTGTTATATATGTCAGTCATGTGGGATATACCAAATAAGTAATTATGGAATAGTCTAATTCTCTCACCCCTGAGTCCTTGAAACATAGGAGTCTTGGTACGGGAAGAAAGGAGATGCAGAGATCTGGGACAAGAAAGTTATAGGGGGAGGACTCTTGACCTTCCAGAAAGTTAGGAAACCTTTGAGAGCAAATAGATTATGTCAGAAAAACTCAGCAGTCAACTTCAAGAGACCCCCTTCTGGGTCAAAGCTGGCATATGTTAAGCTTCAACAAGAATAGCGCAATAATTTGAAACTCATCCAATGTATATTTAAATGCATGCTTTCATCGTGATGTAAAAAGAAAAAAAATGTTTGCCCTTGGAAGATGATAGGAAATCAGTTGTTAGGAACATTTGTAAATAAAGGGGAAATGCCAGCATTTATCCTATTGAACTGTACTATTGGCTAATCAAACAGATGCTGGAAAGTACTGTTTTATAAACATGTTCTAGTAAATGAAAAACAAATGATGGAAATAGAACATCATCATTTTGAAATTTCTAGTGGATCTGGACACTGAGTGTCAATGGCTGCTCATATCACAAAAAGCAAGACACTCAGCAATTATGACACTAATGAAAGAATACACTACCACCTGTAGCCTGGCCCAAAGGATTGGACCTGGGTCTAATTAAATATCTGGTCCAGCTGCCAGATGGCAGGAAGCACAGAGGACAGTGGATCATGTTGAATTATAACAGGCGTTTGCATTCAACAGATTCCAGACAGTGGGTTAAATGGCCTGGGTTTGGTCCATAAAAGGCACTCATTTACATTACATATTTTAGAATAAACAAAGTCTCTTGGGAAAACACTCCCCAAATTGAACAATTTTATGCTGTCTTTGAAGTGTAGCCATATTGACACCATTGTCAAATGGAGGTATACAGGGTGGGATGGAAATAGGTTTACAGTTGTTTGTATGGAAAATAATACAATCATTAATAATCAATAATACAAGAATAAACTGTGTTTCGTGTACTCACAACTGTAAACCTACTTTTGCCTGGCCCCGTATAGTATAATTATAGAATATATTTATAATTGTAATATATATTTCAACTTTAGACAGGTCTATATGCACATCAGTTTAAATGTATACATTGGTATTGCTATTCCAAATTCATCATGCTTTAAAGTATTGGTCAAATACAGGGTGTCCCCCCAAATGTATTGGAATGATTATAATTCCAATCAGTTAAATCTGAAAAGAAAAACCATCAATGGAGCTATCAGCTATAAATTGTGTATACCTTTTGGGGGACACGCTGTATTTCATTTGTAAAGGCACAGTCTGTGATAGAAGCGATTGCCACATAGCACTTCTGAGTTTATCTAGAGCATTGGAACCCCGCCCCCCGCCCCCCACTACACACACCGCGTGTGACTCTCTCAGTTAGTGAGGAGATGACGAGAATGTAAGTAAGACCTTCACCATGATTGTGTGTGGTGTTCTGTCTTTGGACCACGTAGAGATCTTCCTTACCTTTTCCCCTCTTTCACCTGCAGGAAGGACAATCACGGGGTGGCCTAATGAGGAAAGCATGAATGCATTGAATTTAAACTATTTTATAGATGCAGTGAAAGTCATCTTTAAGGATAACTTCTCATATCATTTAAAGTTTATCTGGGGAGGTAGAATCCCCAAGATAAAGGAATACAGAGACCATTCAGGTAACTTTCCCATTAGAAAAATACTTTTTTTTTTTTTTTTTTTTTGCTGTTGTCATTAGTCAAAAGGAAGCATATGTGAGAGCAGAAGTATTACAACATATCCAGACTTTTAATTTCTGAACATAATGAGATTCATTCCTGTTTTTTTAAAAAATCATGTGTTCTTAAGTATATTGTCTTATTAAGAAATTATATTTGCTGTTTCAATTATGCGCTGCTTAACGAGAGGGATACTTTCTGAGAATTGCATCATGAGATGATTTCATTGTCATGTAAACATCACAGAGGGCACTCACACACACCTAACTGGTATAGCCTATTACATGCCTAGGCTGTTTGTATATGGTATAGACTATGACTTCTAACCTGTACAGCATGTTACTGTGCAAAACAACATGAGATTAAACTAAGCACAAGAGAAAATGATGCAATCCAGAGATGCGGTAAACATGAGCTATTCTATGAGCTGCTGTTGGCATAGCCTGGCATACTGCTTTACAGCCAACTTTTTTTTAATCTAAGTAGAAAGAGTACACTCTAAGAGAATAATAAAACATATAGTTAGTAAAAACATAAAGTAGTAACATAGTACTTTATTGTCATTATCAAGTATTATGGGCTGTACATAGTTGCAGTAGGTCGATTGACAACAGCATCACCACAAACACTTGAGAAAAGCATAATGTCATAATGGCTACGATGTCTCTAGGCCAGCGATTTTAAGCCTTTTCATCTTATGGTAGACATAAACTACTAAAATTCTGAAGCACGCCAAAAAATACGTTGTTTTTTTTTGCTGAACTGACAAAAAATAGGTATAATTTGGATTCACTCACACGGGCAGCTGTTGTTGTGTTGGCATTATCATTTTCTTCATTTGACAATCTAAGGCAGTGGTTCTCAACCTTCCTAATGCCGTGACCCTTTAATACAGTTCCTCATGTTGTGGTGATCTCCAATTTCATTGTTACAAATTGAACATAACTAAAGCATAGTGATTAATCACAAAAACAATATGTAATTATATATGTGTTTTCCAATGGTCTTAGGTGACCCCTGTGAAAGGGTTGTTCGACCCCCAAAGGGGTCGCGACCCACAGGTTGAGAACCACTGATCTAAGGGAAAAGAGGTCAGTGCCCTGACTAAGTAGTCAGGTCCTAGATTATAAGAATTTTTCAACTTCATTATATGTGTTCCATTGTTTACCCAATATAGTAATATGGCACATGACTGCATTCCTGTGTTAGTCCTAAATATAATTGCAAGAAAAGGCTATTGCTCAATGATTACCAAACTTTTAAAAAATTTAGTGCTTCTTTGGCACAAGCCACAGAATAGCCTTGGCTCAACAAAGCTCAACAAAATATTCTTAGGTAATGGAGAGAATTATAAGATTGAGTGAAAAATTGTTGAGAACTGATGTTCACATGAACAAAGCATATTCTCTGGGTGTACCCTGCAAACCTTACTTGCAAAAAGCCCTACCATATGCTATATTATTGTGAACTTGGAGTGCATTTTGGAATATTTAAAGTCTTCATTTTTCTATCACCAAGATTGCCCCATCCCATCATAACTGTTTATGTTGTGTTCTTCTTTTCCTAAAGCTCATTGTCAAACAACAAATGAAAAAGTCACCTGTGAAGGTTCACTGTTCTGGAAAAAAGGCTTTATAGCTTTTCAAGCTGCCATTAATGCCGCTATCATAGAAGTAAGTATTAAGTTAAAGAAATAAATGGCATTGTACGTTAAATCTTGTTGGATGGTTATCTTATGGATTATCCTATCTTATCATTTAATTGATTTATTGACTTCACTTATTGGGCACAGTATACTGGACAAGTACTGTGCAGTCATGGGCCACTGTGCACTATGATGTTAGGATAGCTGTGTCACTAGACCAGTGATGGCGAACCTTTTGAGCTCAGCGTGTCAGCATTTTGAAAAACCCTAACTTAACTCTGGTCCTGTGTCACATATAGAAATTTTTTGATATTTGCAACCATAGTAAAACAAAAATTTATATTTTTGATATTTATTTTATATCTTTAAGTGCAATTTAACAAAGAAAAATCAACCAAAAAAATGAGTTCGCGTGTCACCTTTGACACGTGTGTCATAGGTTCGCCATCACTGCACTAGACAATGGGACCACTGTTGTATATACAGTCTTTCATTAACCAACAGGTATTTTTGTGGTGCAAGACTGTATATAAACCATTACACTAAGCACTGAGGATCAGGAAATAAGTAGGACACAGTTACTTTTCTCCAGGGATACTGAATAGTAGGGGGAGAGAAATGGATATATGGTTCATAATAAGAGTTTAGATTCTGTCATGAGATTATAAATGGTGAAGTAGGCAAACAATGAAATAAGATATTCTAAAATATCAGAGAGGACCTACTAATTGAAATGACATTTCAGTTGAGACTTTGAGATTGAGTTGAATTTTGTCTAGTGAAGATGGTAGAAAGATGTTCTAAGGAATCGAGACAAAAACTGGAGGGTGGCAAGACCTACCGGGGGACAGATCGTGATAAGCATATGCATTTAAAAGTGGAATGCACATAATTTCTTTATCATTGAGAGGAAATGCATGAGGTTATAATCAGCTTCATATAACAATGTGTTCATTGGTATCTTTCTTTAGATCACAACAAATCACTCGGTGATGGAAGAGCTCATGTCAGTCACTGGTTTAAATATGAAGATATTACCCTTTCTTGCCCAAGCAGGGGTTGGGACTGATATTTTCATTTTCTTCTGCATTATTTCTTTTTCTACATTCATCTACTATGTATCAGTCAATGTTGCCAAAGAAAGACAATACATTAAGTCATTGATGACCATGATGGGACTTCGAGAGTTAGCATTCTGGTAATTACATGGCTACAGTCTGTCACATAGCATACATAAGCAGAGTGAGTTATTTGGACTCCCTAGGCCTATAAAGTATCATATTTAAACTTGATGGCTTCCATAAGGTAGTGTACGATAAATAAGTGAAGTAGATGGACTTATAGGCTTGGTAAATGATACTTCACTGAATTAAAGAAAGTCTAATTCTATAGCTTGCTGAAACCCAAATCACTAACCAATACAAACGATGACTCTTGATCACTAGTTACCATATATGGGATGGATGAGTGTGTGTGTGTGTGTGTGTGTGTATACACCAGCCGTGGGCAAACTATGGCCCGTGGGCCGGATCTGGCCCGTTTGAAATGAATAAAACTAAAAAAAAAAAAAAAGACCGTACCCTTTTATGTAATGATGTTTACTTCGAATTTATATTAGTTCACACAAACACTCCATCCATGCTTTTTTTCCGGCCCTCCGGTCCAGTTTAAGAACCCATTGTGGCCCTCGAGTCAAAAAGTTTGCCCACCCCTGGTATACACACATACTGGTATGTGTGTATATACTTATAATATGGTACTATGCAAATTGGTCAGGATGCCATCATGTAACGACCTATGGACAGGAGGGTGGGGCAGCGAGCTACAGGAGGGTGGGGCAGCGAGCTCTGTGCGGCAGAGAGCTACAAGCAGCAGTGGGAGGGGCGGCCAGCTGAGGCAAGCGGCAGCAAGCTACTCGCACACAGATTCATGCGCAGGGCCACTAGTATGTTTGTATGTATACATATGTATATGTACACACGCACACACATGTGAGGTTTCTAATATTTGATGAAATATATGTTTGGATGATTGCTTTTGATTCCACATTGAATGAATTCTTACTTTTATGACACTGAAGGAAATAACATACAGACACACACACACACACACACACGAGTTATGTTCTTTAAGCACAAAGCTTCTTTGGTGGAGGTATACACAGTGGTGAGAACACAGGCTTGGGAGGTGGGAAGCCATGGGTCATCTCCATCTGAGCATTGCTACCTTGACCAAGTTACTTAATCTCTTCAAATCTTGGTTTTCTCTTCTGTTAAACATTGATGATGGTATCTATTTCTTATTGGCCATAAAGATTAAACAGGAAATGTATTTACAGTGGAATTAAGAAAAATTAAACACAGAATATTAGATAGAACTCAGTATTGGGAAGTAGTACATACTGAGAGATGTAAGTTAAGGAACCAATTAGCCACAATTTTTAAATGAGTTTAGCCAAACAATGCTTTTGAGACAAAGAGTAGTAAAAGCATAAGTTCCTGAATCAGAAAGCAGTGGTTTGAATGTACCTTTTATGTACTGTGATATTATTCTCAATGTTAAACAAGAATTGTAGAATATATAGAATAGTTGTAGATATATACCATGTAGTGTTTAAATAAACGTTAGATACTGTTGAATAGGAAGACCACATATTTTTAATGCTGCCAATTTATACCAAATTTATTTTTCCTCCAGAAATATTTAATAAACAATGCAAAAAGTGGAGAAAATGCATTGCTGGCTTGGTTTGGTCTACAATGGGAGTTTCTTCTGGTGTCTCTATTTGTATTAAAATTGTGTAACTCAATCCTGGAGGGAATTTTGGTCAATATATTTTTTAAGAAGTCATGGAAACCTACAGAGCATTAGAGAAAAGCAACCAATGATGGTGATGATGATGATGATGATGATGATGATGATGAGAGAGAGAGCAAATATATCTGATGTTGAAGGGTTAACAAAAATAGGAACGTTCCTCCCATAAGAAAAGGCTGTGCCATTCTGTGTGTTTGGCATATGAATGAAATTAAGGAGAGGTTTATAGAATGCAGAGAGATGAACAATTTAAGATGAATAGAAGTATGTTGTGCAAAGGAATCATCACAGTTAGGCAAGACTTCCCAAAACACAATGACTTTTCTACTTTGAACAAAAGAAAACTAAGTGTTCATTGTGGACCAGTTATGGACCCATTGTCATATTAAACCCATAACATACAATATTTCATCTTTCCTTATTATTTTTCAGCAGAGAATAAGGAAATTTAAAGAGATTGAGTACCTTTCAGGATCATAGATTTACAGTGGAACAGAGAAAGCTGGAACCTAGATTGGCATGATTAGAAAGTTGACTCTCTTTCCCCATAAAGAAATTACTTCCTGCTTCTTTGGTATTGATAGCAAGAAATGACATATCTTCATATCCATCTGTATTCCCATGTCTATTTGTATACCTGTGTTCATATCTGTGTCTATATCTAATCTTTACCTAATCATCTATATCAGGGGTTGGCAAAATATGACACCCCCCCTTTTATTTTACAATCTGCAAACTAGGAATACTTTTACATTTTTAAATGTTTGGAAAAATTAAAAGACAATATGTTATGGCACACAAAGACTCATATAAAATTCAAATTTCAGTGTTAACAAATGAATTGTTATTGGAACCCAGCCACACTCACTGTTTGCACATTTTTAAAAATATATTTTTATTGATTTCAGAGAAGAAAGGAGAGAAAGAGAGAGATACAAACATCAGTGATGAGAGGGAATCATTGATTGGCTGCCTCCTGCACATTGGACTGAGCCCGCAACCCAGGCATGTGCCCTTGACCGGAATCGAACTTGGGACCTTTTGGTCCGGCAGGCCGACGCTCTATCCACTAAACCAAACTGGTTAGGGCTGCACATTTTTCAACGACTGCTCTTGTGCTCTGAAGGCAGGGTTGAGTAGTTGCAAGAGAGACCACAGGGTCTAAAAAGTCTAAAATATTTACTATCTGGCTCTTCAGAGACAAAGTTTGCTGCTGCTTCATCTACTTTTGGCCCATGATATTTATACAATTACTTTACTGAAAGAAGAAGTCTCGAACTGACAAATCCTCATAAATGTTTTCCCTGAAACCTTTCCCAATTACTCTCACCTTTTATCACTCAGTTTCTTTATTTTGCAATTGGCTGCCTCTATTATTTGTTTACTTGTTTATTGCCTACCGTCTCCTGTAGAATATGAACTTTAGGGGCAGAGAAATTTTCTGATGTATTAGCTGTTGTATTCCCTTTACTCTTGCTATATGATGAGCTTCACAAATCATTTGCTGAACTCATGAATGAGTCCAGTGATGGAGTAGCAGCACTCTGAACTGACGTTTCGTTTCTCTGCAAGGCTCTCCTGGAGTGTGATGTACGCTGGCTTCATCTTTATTATGGCAATTCTGATGGCTCTTGTTGTAAAATCTACCCGTGTTGTCGTCCTCACTAGCTTTGTGGTGGTCTTCATGCTCATTCTCCTCTATGGCTTGTCTTTGGTGAGTTGATGAATTTAATCAAATTCTCTCTCCCTCCCTCCCTCCATCCCTCCCTCCCTCCCTCTCTCTTCTTTCTCTTCTTTTTCTCAGGGAAACCTACCCATTATTTATCACTAATTCTGATCACACCTGTTCTTTTCTGTTTGCAGTATTTGAGTATTTACATGAGACAATATCTAGGGGTGGGGAGGGAATGGACAAAATATCATACTATGAAATCCTGCCCTTTAGCATGCCACTGATGATTCTCAGAGAAGTAGATACTACCTACAGTGTTTCTCTTCTCTCAGATAACTTTAGCTTTCATGATGAGCGTCCTGATAAAGAAACCATTCCTTACCAGCTTTGTCGTCTTTCTGCTCACGGTCGTTTGGGGGAGCCTGGGTTTCACTGCGTTGTATAGGCATCTCCCTGCCTTTTTGGAATGGGCCTTGTGTCTTCTTAGCCCTTTTGCCTTCACTGTCGGGATGTCCCAGGTAAGAGCTGATGTAACTACTTCATTTTCTACAAAATATTTAAAAAAGATTTCCTCTGAATAATTCATGCTTCAGGTGCTAAACATTAAAATTCCCATCTACCTTGGGAAAGATACACACAGAAGGTATAGAAAGGAGGTGTATGCTTTTATTTTTCTCTCTCAGCACAGTTCGTTTTCTCTTAAGTCCCTAAGTGCCGGCTAATACTCCATTACTGATGCGGTTCTGCTTTTACTTTTAATGGGCTGTCCCACTGAAGAGGTATCTAATTTAATGCTCAAGAAACATGACCCTTAATATCATGGCCAGTATTTGAAAACCAGGAATTCCATGGAAATACATTTTTACCTTTTGATGGGCCAATTTAAACGAAACTGAGCCTCCTCTCAGAAAATTAATTCTAGTTATGACAGCATAACTATAAATGCCAAATGAAGGGTGATGTTACATATAAACTCATTCTATCTTGCTATATACTAAGTAATTATTCTGTTTTTTTCTGTCCTACCACTGAAGTATTTGCACTCCTGCATGGTTTCACTTTCAAATCCTGCCCCCTGTCCAGAAGGCTCTCTCCTTTTCCCCGTCCTAAACTGGATGCAATCCTATAGGCAACCCAGCTCAAATATCACCTTCCTTGAGTTTTTACTTCTGCCTGGAGGACTTGCCTGCTCTGCCGGTGGGTCTCTGAGCTTTTTATACCTATTTCCATTAACTTCCCAAATTGCTTTGTAGTTAGATGGTTCATTGTTATCTCTTCCCTTAGTTTAGAGCTCTACGAAGACAGGAATTATGTTCAATCCCAATGTCTATAATCTATCTATATACATAAAAGCCCAAGTGACTGGCCAACTTGCCGGTACTATGATGCGCACTGACCACCAGAGGGCAGATGTTCAACACAAGAGCAGAAACCACAGGCATGGAAACATGGAACAGACTGATGAATCTCAGAGGGAAAAGGGCAAAGGGGAGGGCGGGAGGAGATTAACCAAAGATCTTATATGCATACTAGAGGCCTGGTGCATGGATTCATGCACCAGTGGGGTCCCTTGGCCTGGCCTGCGGGGATCGGGCCAAAACCAGCTCTCTGACATCGTCCAAGAGGTCCTGGATTGCAAGAGGGCACAGGACAGACCGAGGGACCCCACTGGTGCACGAATCCATGCACTGGGCCTCTAGTAAGACAATAATAATTCTTGATGCTCCGTTTATCCTTTCAATAGTCTATGTTTTTTGTTTTTGTTTTTTAGCTTATACATTTGGACTATGATGTGAATGCTAACACCCATTTGGACTCTTCAAGCAACCCAAACCTAATAATAGCTACTTGTTTCATGTTGGTTTTTGATACTTTTCTCTATTTGGCATTAACATTATATTTTGACAAAGTTTTGCCCAGTAAGTAGATTCATGATTGTGACTCAACACAATTTTATTCATTGCATTTCTTTAATGGTCTACACTTTGTACAAGAATAAAAAGTATATCATTAATAATATTAATATTGATTACAGACTGAAATGATAATATTTAGGATATAGTGGGTTAAATAATATCTATGGTGTGTTGACTATAAATTGGTAAGCATTTTTTTTCAAAACTTTAAAAATAAGCCTAATGGTATTCTGCACTGTGTTTATAGAATAACTTCCTAAGATCTTGTTCTGCCATGACACTTTAGATTGTTTCTTTAAAAAAAGAGATACTTGCGCCCGGCCAGTGTGGCTCAGTGGTTGAGTGTCAACCTATGAATGTGGAGGCCATAGGTTTGGTTCCCGGTCAGGGCACATGCCAGGGTTTCAGGCTCAATCCCCAGTAGACGGTGTACAGGAGACAGCTGATCAATGATTCTCTCTCATCATTGATGTTTCCATCTCTCCCTCTCCCTTCCTCCCTGAAATCAATAAAAAAACATTTTTTTAAGACACAGACACTGGTAAGCGATGAAGGATAATTATATTATTAGTGCACATGTCGGAACTAGATGAAGAATGCTACTGCTATGGTGACTGCAATCCTTAAAGTGGTGCCTGACCCAATATTTAATTGCCTCCCATTCATGTAGCTGAACATGGACGTCGACATTCCCCCTGGTTTTTCCTGAAACCCTCTTTTTGGTTTCAACACCAAAGAGCTGACCACGTGGCCCTTGAGAATGAAATAGATTCAGATTCTTCATCTAATGACTCTTTTGAACCAGTGTCTCCAGAATTCCATGGGAAAGAAGCCATCAGGTAATGAAAGAACTACCTGGAGATGCAAATGAAACACCCGTCAGAGACCAGAGATCTATCAGGCAAAACCCAGATATGACAAAGGTTTTCTTCGGTGTCCTTCTTGTACCCACTGATGTCCAGGCTGCTGCCCTCAGGAAGGGCTACCCTCTTTCTAGATAACATTTTGTTTTCTTATATTGTCAGAATTTACATTTACTAATATCTGTGGTTTAGCAACAGCCATCCATGAATAAACAGTATTCATATTTCCACTTTCTTCATGATCTCTTTTCCATTGTTCATGCTTGGCTCTCTTTCTCTGCCTGCTGTCTTTGTGACAGACACGGTCACCATCTCCCTGGTTGTTTTCACCCCCTTTTCTCTGCGATTCATTCTGCCTCTTTCCTCTTTGCTTCCTGGTTAATACGATGAGAAGGAAGAGGCAGGTGAGGCAGAAAGAGGAAAGAGACCCTCCAGTGAGTGGATGTCTCAATCATCTGTCCACCTCCACCATTTCTTCAAAACATTTTCATCTTTTTTTTCCAGAATAAAAAATCTTAAAAAGGAATATAAAAAAGGGAAGCATGAAAAAATAGAAGCTTTGAAAGGTAATAAATATCATATGTAACAGGTGGGGTGGTTTCAAGACTGTGTCTCAACTGTGATACTGTTTTGGCAGACGAAGAACAGATAGTCCAGCTATCATGATGCTCCTTTGTTCGAACCCAGTATGTTTCCTTCCGAAGGAAAAACCACGGAACAATTTCAGAAAGTCAGATGCAACCCTGATATCCTATAGGTTTGAGAGATGCATGATAGGATCATGCTAGTGTATTTTCAGCTCACCGCATTCTCTAATCTGAAAGCTATCTTCATTGTAATCAGCCCATCTTTAAAGACAAAACTGCTTTGATCCCCAAAATTGTTAATCATAGAATAATATATTATGGTAATATTACACCTATAAAATGTATATCATAGCAGATACCATTTTAAAGAAAGGAATTTTGGGATGATTCTGACTATTGCTAGCCAAATATACCCATATTATAAGAACTTACAAAAATTTCAGAGAATGTAAAGTTACTATGTAGGCTCTGAGTATAATTTTTTTTTATATATACTGCCAGGTCTGGTATTTGACATATATGAAGGCCAGATCACTGCGATCCTTGGTCACAGTGGAGCTGGGAAAACGACCCTGTTAAACATACTCAGTGGATTGTCGGACCCAACATCAGGTGAGAAGACAATTATCTAATGACAAGAACATGGGCAAATGAATTAACTGTGCATTTTTATTAGTTAATTTCAATAGTAGTTTCATTAACTACTAGTCACATGCAGGTATTTAAAAGTTTTAGAAGTTTCTTCAAGTTATTCTTGTATAGATTCATGTTCTCTTTATTGAGGAAAATCTTTTTGGTTTAAATATTTCCTGGTAAGTAGCTTTATGCTTATGAATTGGCACCCAGCTGGGTCAGATGTCTTATGAACATTACATTTTTAATTAGTCAATAGTGTATTCCCTATAGGTAGGCCCAATATCTTTAAAGGACTCTAGTGATTGACACGCATTGTTTTTTCATTTAAAAATATCTTACATAAAGCAAGCATGCAACATTACCCTGATGTTAACTGTCTACCTTTAACTTTTAGGTTCGGTCACCATCTACAACCACTCACTTTCAGAAACGGCTGACTTGGAGACTGTCAGCATGCTCACTGGAGTCTGCCCGCAATCCAATGTGCAATTCGGCTTCCTGACAGTGAGGGAAAACCTCAGGCTCTTTGCCAAAATAAAAGGGATCCAGCCACAGGAAGTGGAACAAGAGGTAGATTCCATGTTAAATGCCATGCAGCCATGAGGATGAAATTGTTTACCTAGGAAATTCTAACCGCACTTGTGTTACTTCTACCCAGTTCACCCTCTAAAGGGCAAAAAGGCCCCTTATAATGAACAGACAAATGATACTGTTTTTTTTTAAATAACCAGTCTGGGTTTTGGACCAAATAACCTTTCTTTGGTTTAGGTACAACAAGTGTTACAGGACTTGGAAATGGAAAATATTCAAGACATTCTTGCTCAAAATTTAAGCGGAGGACAAAAAAGGAAACTAACTTTTGGAATTGCCATTTTAGGAGATCCTCAGGTAAATCAAACTAAAATTACCGATAAAATCAGACTGAGGGTTGAGAAACAATTGTATTCGGTCAGACTTAATTTGTAAACACTAAAAGCAAGAGAGCAGTTACAATGGAAAATTAAGTACTGAGCTATGTCTCCAAATACAAGTTGCTTTTTTAATGAAATTTTGCCTGGGAGGGGAAATGATTTTATGTGCCTTTGTGCTGTGCAGATTTTGCTTCTGGACGAACCAACTGCTGGATCAGATCCTCTCTCAAGGCACCGTGTGTGGAACCTTCTTAAAGAGAGGAAATCAAACAGAGTCATCCTCTTCAGCACCCAGTTCATGGATGAGGCTGACATCCTGGCTGGTGACTCTTAGGTTTCTTGCATGTACCTTAGTGAGAAATCAGAGACACGTGTGGAATATGTATAGATTCATTCCAGCACAGTTAGTTGCCATGGGTGTGACCGCCATGAGAATCTTTCACCCATTTGAGCACCTACATCCCTGAGTACATTGTGCCATGGAAGTACTCTGAACCTATTGCATTGGTTGTAAAATATATAGCTATTCTCAAAGATATATTATGCTTTGCCCTGGCCAGTGGGCTCAGTGGTTAGAGTGCCGGCCTGTGCACCAAAGAGTTGCAGGTTTGATTCCTGGTTAAGGGAACATAACAGGGCTATGGGTTCTCTCCTCATCCCCTTGGTTGGGGTGCATGCAGGAGACAACCAGCCAATGTGTCTCTCTCACAACGATGATTCTCTCTCTCTCTCCATACCCTCTCCCTCCCTTCCTTCCTCTCCCTGAAAAGCAATGGAAAAAAATATTCTCAGGTGAAGATTAACAACAAAAAAGATTAATAACAACTGACGTTCATATTGACGTTATTCAATATGAATGTCAGTTGGCTTGAAACAGATCCTTTCAATGCATAATTTTTTCTAAATATACTAGTACTAGAGAATAAACTAACATGTCATTTTAGTTACTGTATGATAAAGAAAGTGGTTTGCATATGATCAGGATTCGAATGCATCTGTTTTAGTGGGTCATGCTTCTAAAATACGTTGCTTATTAATGAATTTGTTCTTTTATATTAATAGTGAAAATACAATACCTTAATGCAAGTTATTTTATTTTATTTTTTTTCTTTTAATACTTAGACCGAAAGGTGTTTATATCTAATGGGAAGCTGAAGTGTGCAGGCTCGTCTCTATTCCTGAAGAAGAAATGGGGCATCGGCTACCATTTAAGGTACGACCTCACCGTTGGAGACAGGTTAGAACATGTTGGAAAAGCTGAGGGCAGGGGATATCAACATTGAGCATGTGCAAGTAGACTACACAACTGGTGTGTTTATTTCAAGAGATATGTGTTAGAACTACACCCCGGGGCTCTTTTTCTTAGCTAGAGTGAAGGATATGAGGGGTTGCAGACATGAAGACTATAAGAATGATTAGGCGACGTTTAAATAAAATTTTTGGAAAATATTTTCACAACACTTTGTTTGCTAGAAGAAACGTATTGATATTCCAGTCCCTTCTCTTATCATATTTCATTGCTTATTTGGGTTTATTGTGACAGTTTCAATAGCCTCCTCTCGGTTCCCCATGAATTCATTTTCTCCTTCATTCTCTCCTGTTTCCTTCTCTTCCAGATCATAGTTATTATCATTATTAAGTAATGTCTGTCACTTAATAAGTATTGGCTATGTCTTCGGTACTTGCTAAGATATTGACATTTGGAATGCTCATATAATCATATTTAAACCTCCAGATAACTTTAAGATGGTATTATTATTCTCCTTTGACATGTCAGAGAGTTTTAATGATCTGCCCAACTCATTTATAATCTTGGACCAAGATTACAGGTGTAATATGAATCACCCCTCTACTCCCACTAAAATATTAATATTTCTTAAAAATAATTCAAGTCACTTTATCTCCAGTGGTTAAATGAATCCCCCCATATTTACTCAGGTGCTTGACCTGATCTAGCCTACCATTCCATCATGATTGCTTGGTACTACCTGATTGAATCCGTACCTTCCAACTAAAAGGAACTGCCCACGGTTCTCTGGGGTGTTCCATAGCATTGTTTTTGTCTCTGCTTGAGATAGGACATCTGTTTAACATGTCATCCTCCAACCCCTTCAAACCACGTTCCAATCGTATCCATTCTTGAAAGTCTTTTCTGAGTGTTTTCTCCTTGAAAAGCACCCACTCCTCAGGAACCCTGAAAGCATTACTTTGAATTGTTGTCTTAGGCAACTTCATTAATTTACTTGATTCTCAGTAACTTTATTTATGGAGCAGCAGCAATAATACCTGCTTTGCATTTAAGACTAAAGATATTGAACAAATGAGTAATTGACAATGTGCAAAGCACTTAATTGAATTGACTCAACTTCCTTCTCCCTCACTTATTTTATAATATGCTTTACATTATATTTATATTATATCATTATATATTTATATTTATACTAGAGGCCCGGTGCACAAAAATTTGTGCACTCAGGGGGGGGTCCCTCAGCCCGGCCTATGCCCTCTTGCAGTCTGGGACCCCTCAGAGGATGTCCATCTGCTGGCTTAGGCCCATTCCCTGAGGGATTGGGCCCAAGCTGGCAGTCAGACATCCCTCTGTCAGCCTGGCAGACCTCTGGGGATGTCCACTTACCAGCAGGGAGCAGACCTAAGCTGCAGTCGGACATCCTTAGTGCTGCTGAGGAGGCGGGAGAGGCTCCTGCCACCACTGCTGTCCTGGCAGCCATCAGCCTGGTCTGTGGCTGTGGGAGTGCACTGACCACCAGGGGACAGCTCCTGCATTGAGCATCTGCCCCCTGGTGGTCAGTGTGTGTCATAGTGACCAGTCATTCCCAGTCGTTCTGCTGTTAGGGCCAATTTGCATATTACCCTTTTATTATATAGGATTATATTTTGTTACGGGATCCTTTAGAGAAGGTTTTGTATTCTTTCTAAAAAATATATATTTTTATTGATTTCAGAAAAGAAGGGAGAGGGAGAGAGAGATAGAAACATCAATGAGAGAGAAGCATTGATCGGCTGCTTCCTTCACACCCTCTACTGGGGATTGAGCCCGTAACCCGGGCATGTGCCCTTGACCAAAATCAAACCCGGGACCCTTTAGTCTTCAGGCCAATGCTCTATCCACTGAGCCAAACCAGCAAGGGCTGTATTCTTATTTGGTATCTTAGTGCTTAGCACAGGGCCTTGTAAGCACAAAATAGCTTTTTCTAAAATGGATTTTTTTAGGTTCATGTCATCAAAGTCAATTGTGATACCCTTGTCATTCTATAGCCTCAGTGTAATTCAGTGCATGTGACTAATAATGGGGTTGCTCAAATCCAATGATTTCATGAAGAACTTTGTCTGTTCTCATAACAAGACAGACCAGCTTCAACTTGAATACATTTTGGATCAAAAAAGAAAAAAAGATCACATCAGCTAACATATTGAGGGTTTCCTTAGTGCAAAGCCCTGTGCTATCTCATACATATTTTATTTTGTTCTGTATTTTGAGATCCTTGGAAAGCTTAGTATTGTTCAGTCTCACAGATGAGAAAACTGATGCTCAGAGACATTAAACCTGCATTCTGGAACAAGGATCAGTAGAACAATCAAACCATGTTCTTAATGACTATACACAGTACCCCTATGTTTGTTTTTCCCATGTTCAAGTGCTAGTTTTTGAAGGACTCATACTTTACTGCAAAGGGAGAATTCAAAGTTGAGTTATTGAGCAGGTGGAAACAAAATTAGGCGTTCCCTTACACCTCACCCCAGCCACGGTCTAGCAGAATATCTCTTTTCTCCAAATACTAATCCTTGAGTCACGTTCTCTTTCTCTAACATCCCTTACACTGGTCCCCCTGCCATGTGGTACAGATTATACAGTTTGGACTATATTGGTGTTTTTATGTCTCACTTCGTTCATTAGGTTATACATGTTTTGTCTCATTAATGAAAGGACGAGCACATACTACAATTGTTTGTAGAGATAGTGTTCGAGAAAAATAATTTAAATTTACTCTTTTTAAATGTTAGTTTGCATTTGAATGAAATGTGTGATCCAGACAATATAACATCGCTTGTTAAACAGCACATCCCTGATGCCAAATTAACAGCACAAAGTGAAGAAAAGCTTGTATATATTTTGCCTTTGGAAAGGACAAACAAATTCCCAGGTAACAGAATGCAGAGACCACAGAGTGGTTTATATTGATGTTACAATAACCTTAGCTCTTTTGCATTTGTTATTGTATTGCCTAACAATTAAGCCTAACATGAAAGCATAAATCTCGATTTTCTAGAAAATATTTCTTAAATAATGGGGATTTCCACATATAAATTTTGGGTTGACACAGTCAATCTATCTATAACACTCTTCATAATCTAACAATTAAATATTTTAAAACATTAAATAAAATATAACTTATTTCAAAATCCCTCACATACGTAGTTTTCTAAGAATAAAAAAAATAACTTTAACATTTTATACTCAAGAAGACATGGAAATGTGTATGCTGTCTAGACTATTTTATAAATAAGGGAAATTCTATATCATAACTGCTTCTGATTAATGCATTCTATCACATGAATTTTCTATTTTTTAAAATGTTATTATCAATCTCATTCATTACAAATCATATTCTTTTGATGAATTTTTGTGTCTACCTTTAGACCTTTATAGGGATCTTGATAGATGGTCTCATCAAGGCATTGAGAATTACGGTGTTTCCATGACAACTTTGAATGAGGTGTTCTTGAAGCTAGAAGGAAAATCAGCTATTGATGAGTCAGGTAAAAAAAAAATTAAATTTTATATTTCTGTGCAGTATTTTATCTTGAAAATATACTTTGAATGTTGAAATGATATGCTTTTGGAGTCTAATGATTTAGTCTTGTCTTGGGAAAATGTAGAACAGATAGAAATGTATTTCTGTTTCCTACCCCCTTCTCTCAATGCTGGCCTCCCACTTTGAATATCCTATTTTTGTACCATGCATTTTTTAAAGCATGTGGAATACAGCAGTGCATAAGACTAAATCCTCATGGAGCAGACAATATTTATTATTATTATATTTATTATTATATACATAACATAATATTGTATAAGAGCTACCAAGATAAGAAATTAGAGTTGTAGATTGACAGTTGCTTTTCTTATAGTATTTTGATGACATCATTCCAGTGTCTTCAAGGTTCCATTGTTACTGTTGAAATTTTTTCTGTCAGTCTAATTGTCATCCTTGGAAAGTGTTCTGCCTTTTTTCTCTAATGATTCTAAGGTAGTTCTTTGTTTCTGGTTTACTATCTGTGTCAACTCTTTATTGCACTTTTTCACTTTCATTTTCTGTTTTTTTCCTTATTGATCAAGTGGGGTTTTATGTTTTATCCTTTTTTAAGTTATACACTTGATATATTTTCGTCGTGGTTGATTACACTTACCTTTTAATGTTCATCTAGCTTTCTGAAAGTCTAGAGCTGATCAATTTCTCTAGGCTCTTCTTCTAAAAGACATAACTTTTATTTTCAACCATGGCTATATTAAAAAATCTTGCCTCCACCAATTTAATATTCCCAGAGGGGAAAGGAAAGGGTTCTATCTATATTAAATTTTCTAGCTGTGTCAGAAATACTAAGATAGTTTATCTGTTGCAATGAATAGATTCTTCTTCTTGGCTAAATATAAGTTTCTTTTCATTGATTTCTCTAGAATAAATTAAGTCCTTTAAAGCTATAGACACAGAAGTGGGGGAAGAAGAGAAAGTGTGCGGGGATAAAAAACATTGTCGGATAGAACTGGGAGGGTGGAGGTGGGAGGTGAGGTAGAGGGTAGGCCGTGTATTGCGCGTGACGCGCCGACGTGCGCGAGAGCCACGAGCTATCTCTATCCGTATACTTCCCGCTTCCGTCGTCCTTCCTTCCGTTTCCTCCTCCTCTTCCTTCCTTTCTTTCCTTCTTCCTTTCTTTCTTTCTTCTTTCTTTCTTTCTTTCTTTCTTTCTTTCTTTCTTTCTTTCTTTTCTTCTTTCTTCTTCATTCCCATTCTGTAATAGGTGCTCAAGTAAAACCATGAGTTAGATTAATTGTATCTTTGTCCAAGGCTCTCTACTCTGACACCATGTAGTGAGTAGATAATCTTAGGGAAATCGAAATTTAGGCACATCTGAAATGGCACTTTATAAATTACTGATTTTATATTTTCTAGATATTGGAATTTGGACACAGTTACAAAGTGATAGGACAAAAGACACAGGAGGCCTTGTTGAGCTGGAACAAGTTTTGTCTTCCTTTAATGAGACAGAGGAAACAGCCAGCGGCATGGCTCTCTGGAGGCAGCAGACCTGTGCAATAGCGAAAGTTCGCTTCCTGAAGTTAAAGAATGAAAAAAAAACTCTGATGACCATGTGAGTACCCGAGGGTTTCAGGTGTGCATGGTCGGCACATTCAAAATAAATTCAAGAGAGGAAAAAAACAACAACCCATCATGGATAAAATGAATTTCAGCAATTGTATATGGTCTTTTAAACATAGAAGTCGAAGCCAATTTTTAGTTGCTTAGGTGGGTGTGTAATTAAAACAGATAAAGTGTGGGGCTTTTCTCTTAGTTTCACACAGAATCTGCTCTTATCAAAAGGTTGACGTAGTTTACCAGAAGCATGAATGTTAGCACTCGCCTCTGTGCGGGGCCGCATCTTAGCCAAGGCTTCACGTCACTGTCTGGAGCCTCTACAGTCCTCTCCAGCTTCCGGTTTCTCACTGAGTGAGACCTCCTGGCATGAGCCCTGCTCTCCACCCAGGGCACTCATTCATTCCATTGGCTCTCGAGGGTGATTAGAAGCACAGTAAGAAAGCATAGTCCAAAATCAGACAATATTGTCAACCATAGCGTCCAAATAGGGCACTGGAAAAAGAATTTTACATGAGGGAGAATTTGAATTTGATGTAGGAAAATGGAACATTTAGCTAAGGAGGGAAAGCAGGACGGAAATTCAGACAGAGAGCAGTTCTGAGCGCGGAGATGCATGGGAAGCCTGCAGAACTGTTATTAATTTGAGTTCTTTGCGACACAGAGTGTGCAAAAAGTAAAAACAATGTTGATAATATATTACATAGAGCTAGAGAGTTTGGACTTTGTGACTAATAAAGAATTTTTGAAGTTTTAGTTTTTAGTTTGAACAGGCAATTGATATCATTAGAACAGAATGCCAAGAAACTTAGCCGGGAAACAGTGCAAATGGTTTGGAAACAGTAGACAGTGGGCACAAGGAAAAGAGCCATTTAGGACAATGTTGAAAGAGGTCAGAAGAGAGATAATTAAGGTCCAAACTTGAAAAGTAGAAGAGAGAAAAAGGTGCAAGGCAAGTACTAATGATGATAAGAGAAATTTTCAAACATTTGGAAAAGGAAAGTATGGGAGAGAAATGAGTATATCATAATTGAACTTCGGAACCCGAGTGGATGAGAAAATGTTGGAACTTGCAGAAATTGGGGAGAGGAAAGGGAAAGTTTCAGAGTGTAGCAAGTCAGGGTGTTGGCGATATGCCAGCTTGCAGTGGTTCCCCCAAAAAAGAAGAAGTGCGAGACTGAATCAGAGCAAAAAAGTGGGGATTAGCGAGGGATATTTAAGAGTGGTAATCAGCATATTTCCTAGGCTTGAATGACATGTCTGAAGGGGGTAGAGGGCAGCACTTGGAGAGATAGAAATACCAAGGAGAGGTTCATAGGAACCATCTTATTTTAGGAAAAAAGAAACGGGGAAGAAAAGCATGATTCATATATGTGGTTAGTGTTTGCAATTTCTATTAAAACATCCATTCTCTGCCCACATGTAAAAACCTACCAAAGTTGCTCTACATGATTTTCTCTTACCTTTTCCTTTATGCAGATTACTGCTTTTGTGCATTAGCCTTTTCCCTCAGCTTTTGGAATATCTATTTTATGAGATATATCGGAAGAGTTATTCTTGGGGACTGTCTCCCAATATGTACTTCCTCTCACCGGGACAACCGCCTCAAGCTCCTCTGACACACTTACTGGTCATCAATAAAACAGGTGAACATGGAGCTCAAATTCAACCTTTCAATGTTGTGCTTGTTCAGAGATTCCCCAGACAGCATAAACCATGAAGAAAAATCACACTCTGTATGTTTTATTTTATTTTATTATTATTTTTTAATCCTCACCCAAGGATATTTTTCCATAACTTTTTTAGAAAGAGTGGAAGGGAGGGGTGGTGGGGGAAAGAGAGAGAAAGAGAAATATCGATGTGTGAGAGAGAGAAATGTCAATGTGAGAGAGACTCATCCGTCGGTTGCCTCCTGCACATGCCCTGACCGGGGCTAGGCATCAAATCTGAAACCGAGGTACATGCCCTTGAGTGGGAATCGAACCCGAGGCCCTTTGGTGCATGGGCTGATGCTCTAAACACTGAGAAACACCAGCTGGACTATTTAGAAATGGACTATTTGGACATGATGCCAAACAGAAAATTAATTTAAAAATGGCAAATAGAGGGTGGAAGAGTTGGTTTTAGAAACACATTTTGCAAGCTTACTTGACCATTGACTGATCTTCTAGATCTTTCCATAACATTTTTGAAGTACTATGCATTCTAAGGCTCTGGAAAGAAAATATATCCCAAATTTCTAAGAAAATAGAAGATTAATATCTTCAAGGATGATAATGATAATTTTAAACAGTATTTTTTCAATTGATTTTTATTGTTGGCACTATTACAGATGTCTCCATCTCCCCCTCCTTTGCCCACCTCCGCCCCACCCCAAGCCCCTCTTTCTTCACTGTTGTCTGTGAGTTATGCATATTTGTACATTAACAACATTACAAGTAAAATACCTAGCCTCTAGGTAAAGTTACCTTGTCATATCCCTGGTATCAGAATGGGTTTTAGTATCACACCATCAATTCTGCCTTTTTAAGGAAATCATCATTATGGTATGCTTTGAGTGACATTAATAAGGTTTTTAAAAAAATACACTATTTGACTTGTTTTACTACATTTTCGCTTCTTTTGAATTTTACCTTCTTGGTAGGGTCGAGCATTGAAAACTTTATACATTCACTGAGGCAGCAGAACATAGCTTTGGAAGTGGATGCGTTTGGAATTCGACATGGTGCCAACGAGCCATCATACAACGGTGCTATCACGGTGTTAGGTGATGACAAAGTATGTTGGGCTCTGATTGCTGCATCTCACCAAAGATGGAGTATGAACGTACAATCTGAGAAATACATATTGACCGACATAAAAGACCAATTTGACATGAGCAGATGGGGTAGTTCTCATTTGTAGAGGAGAAGGTGGGCTACAATTAGTTGCCCACAGCCTGCATATAACATATTGTGGCTGATGCAGTGGCCAGTAAAGACCACAATACTGTATTTCTTGCAGTATTTTGGGACTTAATCAAATATTAGTGATGGTGGTATTCATCGTATTCAGTGCTTTAGCCTTATTGTGTTGTCAATACTTTGAATTTCTATCAGATTCTTGCATTACATTTCGCATGGGCTCTCTGAGGACTCAGAATGCACATTTGTTTTATTTCAGCACCAGAGATTTTCAATAGCATGCAATACCAAAAGGCTGAATTGCTTCCCTGTCCTCATGGACATCATTAGCAATGGGCTACTTGGAGTTTTTAATTCTTCAGAACACATCCAAACAGACAGAAGCACGTATCTTGAAGTAAGTATATTACATCCCTTATCCTGAACTATAAGAAGTTTTTTAAAAAAAATACCTGAAATGCTGAAATAGCATCGTGTTGATTTTTATGAACTTATTATTGAATAAGTTCATGTTTGTTTGTTTTAAAATATATTTTTATTGATCTCAGAGAGGAAGGGAGAGGGAGAGAGAGATAGAAACATCAATGATGAGAGAGAATCACTGACCGGCTGCCTCCTGCACACCCCCCACTGGGGATCAAGCCCAGGTATATGCTCTGATCGGGAATTGAACCGTAACCTCCTGGTTCATAGGTTTACACTCAACCACTGAGCCATACTGGCCAGGGTCATGTTTTATATACTTACAACTTACTTACATTCATATATATATATATATATATATATATATATATATATATATATAGATATATATATATATATATATATATATATACACACACATATATATATACATATATATATATATATATAGATAGATAGATATACACACACACACACACATGATATTTAAAATAATCGTATAACATTGTAAACTTAATTGGATGACTTAGGGTCAGTGGAACAGCAGAAAATACAATTAATTCAGAAAAAGGAATGACTTTTGGTCTTCGATCTGTCACCATCTCTGGTCCTAAGTAGTGGGACCTGGTTGAAACAGCCAGAGTCATCAAGGCCAGACACTGGGGCCTCCTTAACAACTTGGCTTCTGCAAGCCTTGGTTTGCCAATCCACACACACAAAAAATACAGGTAAGAAATTCATCACTGGGGTTTCTTTAGAAGTAAATGAGGCAATGTGAACACCCAGTTCAGTTGGCCAAGTTAGTATAAACATGAGTTATAAAACATGATGCAGGAAGCCATAGGTGCTCAATAAAATACATTTGTTATCGTTACTGCTGTTAATATTACTTTCCTTGGGAATGCATTGTTTCCATTAAAGAGTGTTCAGTTTTGAGTAGATTGGAGAACAGGCTTAGTTAGAACTAGAAGCCGTTCTTGTTTAAAATATAATTTTTTAAATATATTTTTATTGATTTCAGAGAGGAAGGAAGAGGGAGAGAGATAGAGATAGAAACATCAATGATGAGAGAGAATCATTGAATGGCTGTCTCCTGCATGCCCCCCACTAGGGATCAAGCCCGCAACCCAGGCATGTGCCCTTAACTGGAATCGAACCTGGGACCCTTCAGTCTGCAGGCCGACGCTCTATCCACTGAGCCAAACTGGATAGGGCTACAATATAATTTGCCACGAAGTTTTAGGAGGGGCTAAGACAGTGGTTCTCAACCTTCTGGCCTTTTAAATACAGTTCCTCATGTTGTGACCCAACCATAAAATTATTTTCATTGCTACTTCATAACTGTAATGTTGCTACTGTTATGAATCATAATGTAAATATCTGATCTGCAGGATGGTCTTAGGCGACCCCTGTGAAAGGGTCATTCGACTGCCAAAGGGGTCGCGACCCACAGGTTGAGAACCGCTGGGCTAAGAGAAGAGAGAAGTAAGATGATCTCAAAACTCATGATATCAGACCTCATGATACACATGGCTTGCAATGTAGCAAGGCAACCGATCATAGATCAGATCAAAGCTTCTAGCAAAACCCAAGGCCCTCTTTGACCTGTACAGGATTTTGACGTTTTTAAGACTTAATGTCCTTACGTGGAATGTGTGCTGATCATTTTTCTCCAAGCCCCATCACTTTTATTTCCTAACATCCCCTACTCATGCATTTATATCTACCAGGTCCCCAAAGGCGTTTGAATTTGCTACTTATGCATTAAGTTGAGCCAGAGGAATGATTCTTCATAAGTGTTAGACTGAACTGATTTGGCACCACTTTCTGAGAGTAGTGTTGGCAGTCCACAGTTCTATTGCCCATAAAGACATCAGCTTAAATGTTACCCTCATAAAGTTAGAGAGCAGACGTTTTATGCTTACCTTGCATGTTATTAACTGTGGGACCTTGGCCAATTCTTGCGACCTGGTGGCATTTGCTTCCTCCTAAGTAAAGCAGGAGGCATGTTCAAAGCCCCCATGTTGTTGCAACTTGTGATTGAAAGTTAATGTGGAAAGAAGTTGCAAAGAGAACCTTGGGAGGTATCTTTGGTAGTCAGATTGGTTGATTTATTTGAGTGACTTAGTTAAGAAAGTAAAAATGAACCTTATACCCAATTGCCATCAACTCTTGTGTTCTGCATGATTTCAGGAGTCCATGTCTGAGGAGTATGTGTCCATGAGCAATCCCTTCCTCTGGATACCTGGGGCGGCCTGTTTTACTCCGTTCATTGCCATGAGCAGCATCGGTGACTATAAAGTAAGAAGGGTTGACAAAGTGTTTACATGTTCTTAATGCCCAGGGAACCCTTTCCCATCTCTGACCATAAGTTTATATGTAGGTGGTTACACCTAATTTATGTACCTGAAACAATGAACAGCCCACATTTTCATTAAAGGTTGGCAACTATAAAGAAAATGCTATTTTTCTTAAACCAATAAGAGATCTCAGGAAGGGCAGCTTAGGCGATATCATCTTCTAACAGGAAGTGGGAGTTTTATCTGCTCTACCACTTAGTTTTATTCGTAGGCGCTTACCCACAGACATCCCCTCTTCCTGGATGAGCACAACAGCCCCCCTAGCTGCTCTCGATGGGGCCTCATTTATTGTCTCCTATTCCATTTTCCACACAGTGTAACAGAGCACTATCTTAAAAACACAACCCTGACCTTGTTAATTACCTGCCTAAATCTTCTCAGTGGTTCCTTATCAAACCAAGGAAAAAGAATGAAATACTTGAGTAGCCTCAAAAGCCTGGGTGGTCCCGGGTGTCTCCACTTTGATCTGATGCCACTCTCATCTTGATAGTCATGTCCAGCTCTACTGGCTTCTTTCCAGGGTCCCCAAAACCTTAGCTCTACTCACTGCCCTGCCTTCTCTCCTCCTAATCTCCTAGCTTGCAATGCTCCAGATATGGCACATGGATACTCCTACTCATTGCTTAGACCAGTGATGGTGAACCTATGACACGCGTGTCAGAGGTGACACGCGAACTCATTTTTTGGTTGATTTTTCTTTGATAATGGCATTTAAATATATAAAATAAATATCAAAACTATAAGTCTTTGTTTTACTATGGTTGCAAATATCAAAAAATTTCTATATTTGACATGGCACCAGAGTTAAGTTAGGGTTTTTCAAAATGCTGACACCCCGAGCTCAAAAGGTTCACCATCACTGGCTTAGACCCTAACCCTTCACAAAGGACCCTTCCCTCCCTATCCTAATGCCGTATTACAATTCATCTCCTTTGTAAAGCCTCTCCTATGACCCTGAACCTCCTTAACACTTTTAATTTTACTTGTTTTCCATTTTTAATTTTAATAACATTTTTAATTATGTAGCTATTGTACTTATTTGCTTATTGCCTTTTTATCCCCCCCCTCCCCCCACCACACACACACACACAACTTAAACTCTACAAGAGCTCTTTGACCAACGCAAAGGCAGGCACATGAACAAATGAATAAATAGGGCATGTCAGCCCTCTAATGTGTCCTCGCTGTCATTCTCTTTCCTGCTTCCTTCCAGCCATACTCTCCTTTCCAGAATACTTATCTGCTTTCAAACTTTCCCCTTAGTTCATCTTTTTTTATAGACTCAATTTCAGATTTAAAATTTTAAATGCTTTTGTGCTTTACTGTTAGAACAGGCCACATTATATTTTAGGACCTTATGTTAAAACCATCATTGCAACAAAATACAGCTTATAATGTGGTCCACGATATCAAAATCCACTACTGGTTTTCACTTACATTAATGAAAAGTATGGTTTGCTTCAAGACAGGGAGTGTAACATTTTAACGGAAGACTTCTTAGGCCAACCTAAAGAAGCCATTTTTAATGAAGTCGACTAGGGAGATGATCATTTCTTAGACCCCAAATAAAATGCCAATTATAAATGCACTATTGGCATCCAGCATACAATTTATCTATCTTATAGGAAATTGTAAACCTACATCTTTTGATTATTTGTACAATCAGCAAGTCTTCATGATGTCAAAGGGAGGAGTAGCTTTGGAAAGAAAGGAACAGGTATCTTCTCGTTGAAGCAACCCCTAGTCATTCTGTGACGGAATGTAAGCTAGATATGTGGGTGCATTTTCCCTTTAAATAATGAAGTCATCGTGTACTTTACAGCATTATTAATACCCCAGAAGCAGGGGTGTGGCACGTAAAACCCATTCACTAAGTCAGCATAACATATAGAAGGAACATAGAATGTTTGTGACTACATAGTTGTAATTTCTCAGCCTGAACTATCAGTACCTTTGATGACTTTGTTTTTTTAATCAGAAAAAAGCTCACTCCCAGCTCCGGATCTCAGGCCTCCACCCTTCCGCTTACTGGTTTGGGCAGGCGTTGGTGGACGTCCCACTGTACTTCTTGATCCTTCTTGTGATGCAAATAATGGATTACATTTTTAACCCAGATGAAATGATAATTATAATCCAGAATTTGTTAATTCAGGTAAGTGGCAAAAATTAGGAAATGGTTCATTAGATTATTTTTAATGGATGTAGTAACATTATTTATCTTAAACCAAAGAACTTCACCTTACTTCTGCTAGTGCATAGTTTGGAAAGTTGGGGTTTAAGTAGGAATACTTTCCTAGATAGCGTTTACCTTATTCAACCTTAATCTTCTCTTTTCAGATCTTGTGTAGTATTGGATATGTCACATCTCTTATTTTCTTGACATATGTGATTTCATTCATTTTTCGCAATGGGAGGAAAAATAGTGGCCTTTGGTCATTTTTCTCCTTAATTGTAAGTAAGCATACAGTGCACATTGTTTTGTTTTTAAACCAGTTTATATAATTTTAAGAATGTATATTTTAATCTTTATACTAAACAGATTGGTAAATTAATGTTGCTCTTTAGAAAATTCTAAATAAGATAATCATAGACACATATAAAATATACTGTATGTGAGGGTGTGCACCAGTTATAAACTAGGACCTCAAACATGTCTCTAGGTGTAGCCTGTCCCTGGAGCTAGACACTTCTACCTTCAATAACTCACTTACAATTTCACTTGAATATTTAAAAACACCTCAAGAATCACATTTCTAAAATATAATCCTTTCCTCAACCCTGTTCTTCTTTGTCTTTTAATATCTGACTTTACTACAGTACCCAGATAATTGCTCATACCAGAAATCTAGACTTATCTTTGATTCCTCTCTGTATCTCCTCATATTCAATCCATTTATATGACCTTAAAACTCAACATTTCTGAAGTCTGTTTGGTGTGTCTCAGTGTCACTGCCACTGCCATTGTCTAAGCTTTCAGCATCTCTCTACTGGAGTACTGCAACAGACCTGTAAATGGTCTCCCGCTTTCTACTCTTGCCTCCTGTAAATTATTCTCCATATAATAGCCAATGTGATCCTTTTAAAATAAAATGTATTGAACAGTGTAACCTACATGTGGAGAAGTACACCATAGATTCCTTTATCCGCTTTCTGAACTTAATAAAAGTGGAATCATGTAGAAACTCATAGAAACAGAGTAAAATGCTGGTTACCAGGGGCTGAGGGCGGGGGAAATGTTTGTCAAAGAATACAAACTTCCAGTTATAAGATGAATAAGTTCTGGGGATCTGATGTACAGTATAATGATTATAGTTCACAATATTATATATTTGAAAGGGGCTAAGAAAGTAGACTTTAAATATTCCCACTGTAACAACAACAATGACAAAATGGTAATTATGTGTGGTGAAGGATGTGTTAACGAACATGATTTTGGTAATCTGTTCACAATATATAAATCTATCAAATGATCACATTGTACATCTTAAACTTACAAAATGTTATTTGTCAATTATATCTCCATAATGCTAGGAATAAAGATGAGCCATTTAAAGATGAAATTCATTCAACCAAGAAATGAGCCAAAATAAAGAATTCAACAAAATAAAAATTACTATAAAAGCACGGGTAGGGATCACTGAACTCTGTAAAACATATGTGAATATTACATACCTTTGAGAATCATGGTTAGGGCTTATTTATATAGAAAAATCCTCAAATTCAATAGTTCCTTTTGTAAAGTGAGCATAACTTTAATAACAATCCTGTGAAAGATATAGTAAGAAAGAAAATCCCTGAGAAATTTAATCAGAAAAATCAAGGATAACTCTCTAAATAAAAAGATGGCCAAGCAACCCCAGAAATAAATTTAAAAAATAGTAATAATAAATAGGTGTGATTTAATTCAGAATAAGCTGATGGCTCAGTATTAACAGCTGTCAAACTAAAAGAGGAAAACTGCCTGAGTTAAGAAAATACTGTACAACTCCTTTTTAAAAATATATATTTTGTATTGATTTCAGAGAGGAAGGGAGAAAGAAACAGAGAAACATAAATGATGAGAGAAAACCATTGATTGGCTGCCTCCTGCATGCCTCCTACTGGGGATTGAGCCTGAAACCCGGGCATGTACCCCTGACTGGATTGAACCAGGGACCCTTCAGTCTGCAGCCCAATGCTCTATCCACTGAGCCAAACCAGCTAGGGCCCATACAATTCATTTTTTTTTTTAAAAAACTGAGCAAAATAAAAAGATAAATATAAGAAACACAAATTACCAAAATCCAGTATCATATTACATGGTAAATTATATAGTTATTCACCTAATATCAGCAGTAAAATGAAGACACCTACAACCATTCATATAATGTCCTGTCTCGGTGAGATGGTGTGATGTGTACACTAACTCATGGTGTATAGGAGAATAGACTGTCACCATCTTTTCAAAAAATAACCTGTTAGTAACTACTGAAAATTTAAGTGCGCATACTTCTCAGAATCTCTCCTTAAAGATTAAAAATGTAAATATACAAAAATTTATGTTGACCAGCATTTATAGGAACAGAGAAATTGGAACATCATTTCTAAAAGCAAAATTATCGCATTCTTGCACATCCACTCAAAGAAATACTAAGCAGCTATATATAATGATAGCTGGTATGCCAAAAACTAAAAGGGGTATCTCTGACCTACTGGGCAATGGAAAAATGCAGGATGTGGAGTAATGTGTAATAAATGGATCCTTTGTCAGAATCTAAATTTAATAAGACCTCCTCCTGGTTTGTATGCACATTGAATTTGAGAGGCCCTGCTGTGTCTTAAAAACCTCATACTCCATCCAGTACAGAATTGTGACAATCCAATACAAAATTCTCTGTGTTGCAGAAGAAAAGAAGTAAGGTGGCAGTACTGGCTTGGGAAGTGAGATGGAAATTGAAAATAAGAACATTTACAAGATGAAGCTCCACTCTCTTGCAAAACATCAAAACGTTCAGATTGTTGCACTTCAGTGAAACTATGCTGTGTTTCTATTTCAGGTCACCATCTTCTCGATAGTTTCTATTGAAATGACTAATTATGGATTTCTAGGGCTGTTAATCTGCACCATATTGATCCCGCCTTTCACACTGATTGGCTCTCTATTAATTTTCTCGGAGGTAAGAATCTCACTCTTGTCCCTTGGTCATGAAATGTGTGGCCATTGAAGGCAGCCTTGAATATTGTAAAAATGTAGGTAGATTTTTCAGTTGTACAAGGTTTGAGGTCTCTGTCTTCTGAAAGCCAATTTACTTACCATAGGCGAGAATCATGTTCTCATTCAGTAGGAAAGCCTGCCTTGGTTTATGAAGGTCAAAGGCAACTCCACTGTAGTAGAACTTCATAGTTCTCATGATAACCCTCACTCCTAGGAACAAATATCCCAACTGAGAGGCCAATGAGATGCCTTTCTTCTGTTATTTTGGACATAGTAGGTTTAAGGCTCCTCATAGACATGCAATGGGAAATACCAAGTAGCCAGTTAGATATATGAGTCTGATATTCAGTATCAGGGTTTTGAGGATTTGGGGGACTTAAAGCTAACCACTTGAGATTCCTCAGCATGTAAGTGATATTTAAGGCCATGGAACTAGATGATATAACCTACAGAGTAAGTATAAGGAAAATACAGCTCATGGACTTGACCTTGAACTCCAAAATTTAAAGATTGAGAAGGGACTGTTGTTTGCCAGGATCTATTCTCAGAAACTCTACTTAATGACATAGAGGAACCATATATAAGGATGTACATCAGTTTCTCCTAGCAGGGCGAATCCTGCCAACTCACAGTGTTCAATATAAAAGCATTGGAGCCTACAGCACAAGCACAGGGTAATAGGTCACTGAGTAACATGAGAAGCGGGGAGGACACACTGCACAGTCAGAAATTGACTTTTACCCGATACATGAGCAAGAATTACGTAGAAGGCTGGCAAGGTCGTGTAATGGGCATTGAATTGTCTTAAGTGAGATGAGATTCATGCACAGATGAGGTTCATCTAAATACACCCTTTTCTCACTTTACAGGGTTCTCCTGACTTGGTGGAATATTTAGGAACTTCAGAGGAGTATCTGCTATATCTGGCATTGCTGATAGTAAGAAGACATTTCCATTTAACTGTTCTTGCATGAGGGGGATGCATTTGTATGCTTTGCACTAAATTAAAAATTTAATTTTGGTGCTTAAAAATTTGGCACTTTACACATTTGAACACACACACACATACACCCCACCAGAGGCTTCAAATTCTGGATGACTAATGTTATAATGATTGTATGAGACTGAGTATGAAGCCCAAACTCTCACTGGCATGAACAGAGTCAGTATCAGTGTACTCCTTCTATTTATGTCCTGCTCTCTCTGGAGAGCAATGAAGCCAACCCTGAGAGTTTCGTAGAATATCAAATACAGTGAAAATGTTATCAAATCTACCTTTATATATTATCAAACTACTTAAGTCACTTCTAATATTGAAATTGTTGTTTTCATGGTGATGCTAATTTTGATTGTCTTTTCCCCCCTCATAGCCTTACCTTCAATCTTTCATTTTCCTTTTCATTCTACGGTGTCTGGAAATGAACTTTAGGAAGAAATTGATGAGAAAGGATCCTATATTCAGGTTGAGAGATTCGTGTTTTATTTTAATATTCCTTGTTAAAGACATTTTAATAGGCTTAACTTAATTGAGTAAAAAGTACTGTACAGGGTTGTTTTTAAGGGACTGTGTAGTATACACCATTATAATTCTTGGTATGTTAATGAGCTTATAATCTAGCAGGAGATGCTACACTAGCACACATAAGACACTGAAAAAAATAAGGCAGACCATAATTTTACTAACATTCTAGAAGAAAGTCATATACAAGTGGTAGCACTTAAAAATAATGGTTAAATATAGACAAGCAATTGGGTAAATGTAGCTAATCTAGGAAGGAAGAGGAGTCTGAACAAAAGGACAAAAATTGGAATAAATGCTACCACCCTATAGGTTCACGAAGGCTGCTGGAATGAACGTGAAACCTTGTGCAGGAGGTTAATAGGAAATTAAAATTAAGCTAGATACATATTGGAGTGTCTTGGAATAGGGAACCATAGGGAAGGTTTTTACAAATTATGCAATCAGAAACAGACCGGTGTGTTTTGAAAACCTTGCCTAACTCAGAAAGTATGAATCAAGCTCAAGTCTAAAGTAGGCGGTAGAGCAGGAGAGTGACAAGATGACAATCATGGTTTAGGAAAACTACTGACAGCAGCAATTTGGGATGGCATGATGGAAAGAGACAGGAATCAGCAGGAATCAGTGGGGATGAGGAAGGAAAGGGTTAGATTGGTAGTAGCCAGGAAAGAGTGATCCTGTCACATGTACCCAAGACATGAAAGTGCTCAGAAACTGGTGATTGCATATCGTGGGATCTCAGGGACACATCTCTGATTGCAAATGTTTTGATCCATTCTTCTCACTAAGCCTTCAGAATTCCAAAATATCTGTGTCAAAATTACAGTCCCTAGATTCCTTTATCAACCCTGTCAGAGTGTGAGTACTGTTCTATTATTTATAAAAGAAGTCACAGCCAACAAGGAGACTGAAACTTAGACCGAAAGCAAGGATGATGTAAAAGCAGTGTCATTTGAATCACTGCTGGAAAGTAGGCTGTCTGCAAGGCAGAGGGCACAGAGCAGAAGCATGGAGATTGTGGGGTGCTCAGTTACTCAGTCTATGCAAATAATTTATAGCAGTTTGCACAAAGTTCATTATTTCTGTTACAAGTTGTTCAACTGGAAACCTGCTCTGATTTTAGAATTTCACCAAGAAGCAGTAAGTTTTTTCCAAACCCAGAGGAACCGGAAGGGGAGGATGAAGACGTTCAGATGGAAAGAATGAGAACAGCGAATGCTGTGAAGATCCCGGACTCTGATGAGGTGGAACTACTAGCAATAGTCTTCATCATATACCACTGTCTGTCAGATAAAGTGGGCAACTAGCTAATCTGAATTTGGGGGTTGGGGACACACACACACACACACACACACACACACACACACACACACACACACACACACACACACACACTGAGGTTCTTTCATCCTTGCCCAGAGTTCATTACTTGATTTCAGTAAATATTCAAAGCCAGCAGAGATCCAAGAACACACACAAGTTACTCTTTCAGTCATAGTTTTGGTGGGTAAGGCTGACTATTACAAAACCTAAAAAAGATTTGTGAGCAAAGCAATTCAGAGGAGAGCGTTCACCTGAGGTGTATGTGTGTATGTGTGCATTTGTGTGTGTGTGTGTGTGTGTGTGTGCCTATGAGTGTATGTCTTTTAATAGTGTTATTGGTTTGATGAAAGCCTCTGTTCCTATTTTTTGAGGAAGGGCAAGCATGAGTCAGATGATACAGTGCAAATGTCCTTTTGCAGATTGGGAGAATTTACTTTAAAATGGCAGTTTTGAGGAGAACTGTTTGGATTCACTATTTTACATTGGGAAAGATTTGGCCAGAAGGAGGGAGTATGGGGCACTCACTCATCTCAAGGTGATAATGTTGTTATTCCCTCGTCTTTGCAGAAACCAGTCATCATTGCCAGTTGTCTCCGGAAGGAATATGTAGGCAAAAAGAAAAACTGCTTTGACAAGAAGAAAAAGAAGAAAGTTGCTACAAGAAATGTCTCTTTCTGTGTTAAAAAAGGTTGGCAGCAGTAGTTCTGCTAGCAGGGTGATCTTGACCTCTGAAGATGACGTCTTTTGAAGGGAATAATGCCTTCCAAATCTGGGATGATCACTGATAAACATGAAAGGCAGCCAGCTCATCAGCAGTAGAACTCTGACCCAGTCTGCTTCACGGCCTGTTACAGCCATTTGTTCTTTGCATAGAAGACATTAATGTCTGCTCTGCTAAAACAAACAAAAGAGAACAGCCACCAAAAAGGAGGCAGTGTTTATGTTAAGAAGGATGGGATAGCTTTCTTAATAACATTAATTACGCAGCAGGGAATACAGCACAGAAGGGAAATCACTGGGCTGCGGTAGTTCATTCTTCATACCTAACAAATGGCACGTTTCAGGAAAGTGTCGGTGAAATGCAGCAGGCACTGGAATCAAAATTTGTTTCACTTCCATCTCAGCCTCTTATTGGCTGCATGACCTTGGGAAAGATATTGATCCTCTTTATACCTTAGTTTCCTTGCCCATAAAATAAAGGGACATAAGGACACTCGAGTTTGTGTGTGGCTGAGGAATAAGTGAAATAATGTACATAGCACATTTGACATAAAGCTTGACACACAGCGAGAGCCCTCAAATCGTATGTGCTTTTATTTTTATAATTGTTTGCGGTTATAATTCTGAGCACACTTTTTTTTTCAGGTGAAGTTATAGGTCTGTTAGGACACAATGGAGCTGGTAAAAGTACAACTATTAAGATGATAACTGGAGACTCAACACCAACCGCAGGAGAGGTCAGTGACACACACAGAGGTGTGCTCATGAACGCTGCCTCAATGAGACAGTTAAGATACGTATTGATGACAATCTTTAAAAGCACAGGCCATCTTTTCCTATTAATCAATGTGACTCATGCATTGAATAAAGAGGATAAATTAATACAAATTTCTCTCCTTGATTCCAAAAAGTAGTTAGGTGTTGAAAAGAGCTGCATGTTATCTACAGTATGCCTTTTATTGAATGAAAAAGTAGAGACATTAAAAGGAGAGATTTTGGAAAGGAAAGCTAAACATTCGCTTTACTGGAGGTCAGAGATCTTTGTTTTGTGGATTGATGTATCCTGAGAACTTGTTAAATTGAATTGCCAAGATCCAGTATTTACTCAGAAAACAGAGATCATATGTTAGAGGGAAATTGAGTAACTGTCTAAATTCCATAGCAAATACTAGAATAGTGTATTAATGGCACTTGGCTTTACGTCCAGCCTAAGTTGGGTGAAATGACGGACAGAGTTCCAAAGTCAAACAATGGACAAACGAATAAGCAAACTTGAATTCAACCATGGTGATGGGCTTAGTAATAAAGCCTAAACCATTCTAGGAGGGATAGAACAATGTGGAATATCTGCCTTTTGATGTATAGAGTTTCTGTCATCTTTTCCCCAGAGCTAAGAGGTTACTTACGGACTTGTGTACTCTTGGCAGCCGTGTGTGTAAGAGGGGGACATCAGTGCAGTACGCTCACACACACACACACACACACACACACACACACACACATACACCACAATTTTGGCCAGAAGGTAAGAATGAACTTTTTGTGTAGGTGATTTTGAAAAGGAACAGCGGAGGAGACGCCCTCAAGTTCCTGGGGTACTGCCCTCAGGAGAATGCGCTGTGGCCCAACCTGACAGTGAGGGAGCACCTGGACGTGTTTGCAGCTGTGAAAGGGCTGAGGAAAGTGGATGCCGCAGTCGCCATCACACGGTACCTGGGGGAAGACACACCTGTCCTCTACTAGAGCGATGTCATAGATTCACAAAAAACTGAGGAAGTACCATTCTAACTGATGACTCCATACTTACTGGTATGGAAGAAGACTTGTTCACCTAGACCCCAATTCAGAGTTTTGTTCTCTCATTTTAAGCCTGGAGAGGAAAAGTCTATTAATTATTCTTAATACAAAAATAAGTCATTGAAAATGTGAATTTAAAAACCATGAAAGGGCCCTGGCTGGTGTGGCTAAATTGGTTGGAGCATAGTCTCATTCACTGAAGGGTTATGGGTCCAGTCCCATCAGGGCACATATCCAGGTTGGGGGTTCAATCCCCTGCATGCAGGAGGCAACCTGTATATGTTCCTATCTCTCTCCCTCCCTCCCTCCCTCTCCCGTCCTTTTTCTGTAAAATCAATAAATTAAAATAAAAACAATGGAAGGTTCATAAAGTATCCAAGATAATTTGAATTTTTTAAAATTTTATTTTTCCATTACAGTTGACCTTCAATATTACTTTATACTCGAGGCCTAATGCACAAAATTTGTGCAAGAGTAGGCCTGCCTTCCCCCGGCTATCTGCATCAGCTTTCCTTGCAGCCCCGGCTTCATCAGGAACGTCGTCCAGTCTAATTAGCATAATATGCTTTTATTATTATAGACTAGAGATCCGGTGCATGAAATTTGTGCATTCAGGGGGGTCACTCAGCCAGGCCTTGAGAGCCCTATATAATAAAAGGGAGCCCTTGGGCCCTAACCAGTTTGGCTCAGGAAATAAGAGCATAGGCCTGCGGACTGAAAGATCCCAGGTTCGATTCCGGTCAAGGGCATGTACCTTGGTTACGGGCACATCCCCAGTAGGAGGTGTGCAGGAGGCAGCTGATCGATGTTTCTCTCTCATCGATGTTTCTAAATCTCGATCCCTCTCCCTTCTTCTCTGTAAAAAATCAATAAAATATATATATATATTTTAAAAGGGATCTCTTTGGGGATGTCAGACTGATAGCAGTTGGACATCCTTAGTGCTGCTGTGGAGGCAGGAGAGGCTCCCACCACCACCGCCATACTCGCCAGCCATGAGCCCAGCTTCTGGCTGAGTGGTGTTCCCCTTGTGGGAATGCACTGACCACCAAGGGCAGCTCCTGCATTGAGCATCTGACCCCTGGTCATCAGTGTGCATCATAGCGACCGGTCTTTCTGCCATTCGGTTGATTTGCGTATTAGCCTTTTATTATATAGGATTAGTTTCAGTATACAGTTTAATGGTTAGACAATCAAATATAGTTTCAATGTTATGACCACTCTGAATAGTGCCTTTAAACATTCTGCACTGTAGACTTCTGATTTGCCCTGTCCCCCATGTGCCTTCTGGTTGTGCGCTGGTAATGTGGGTTGACTCACTGTTTCCTTCAGGTTGGTGGAGGCGCTCAAGCTGCAGGAGGAGCAGAAGCGCCCCGTGAAGGCCTTGTCAGAGGGAATCAAGAGAAAGGTAGGGTTGGGGCTGGGGTTACTCCTCCAGGCGCACTGATCCCAGATCCGAGCCCGATGTGCCGTTCCTCTCCTTCCAGCTGTGCTTCGCGCTGAGCATCCTGGGAAACCCATCGGTGGTGCTGTTGGACGAGCCGTCCACGGGCATGGACCCCGCGGGGCAGCAGCAGATGTGGTGAGAGGATGTTATGAGCAACCCAAAGTGAAAGTGTTTTACTTAGCAAATGAAAGACATCAATATTATCAGGAAAACCAATAGTATGGAGGGAAATCTGAAAGCCCACTGCAGCCAATTTTTATGGAGGAAAAAAAGATATTCTAACAAATTAGTACTCAAGAATTTCATTCTTATCTTAGATCATGTGGGTGTGCATGGCCTAATTTTATATTGAGATCAGTCTACATTAAGTTTTTCTGCGATATCTCCGAATACATCTGTGACATCTATTGGAACAAAATAACTATTTAATTATTTTAGGATATATTTTGAAATCTGTCATTTTGCCCTTTGGGGTATATGTCATTATTATCATGTTGTTAAATAAGTTCCCTCTTTCTCTATCTTTTTTCCTACTGCCCTTGCATAAAAATACTTGAAATTTAGCATTTTTATAAACCTTTTACCCAATGTCATTCTCTACATTATTCAGCCCAAGCCATGCACTAATTATTCACTCTACCAGTAGTTTGGTTATTTCCATGTCTGTTACCCCTGAAAAAAAAAATCCTGTATTTGTCTGATCTGAATTCCCTGATTATTTCGTTGTGCCCATGGAAACTTCTTTAATTTTTTCTTTTCATATTACCTTGGCATTCCCCCTAGTGAACATTTCCCTTGCACTAACTTTAGGCAGGCAATCCGGGCCACCTTTGGAAACACAGAGAAGGGTGCCCTCCTGACCACTCATTACATGGCGGAGGCGGAGGCCGTGTGTGACCGTGTGGCCATCATGGTGTCCGGGAGGCTGAGGTGAGTGCCCACACGAGGTCCCTAGTCACGCCCTGCACAAAGGACATTTCCCTGCACAGGGCATCACTGTGAGGAGCAGGAGAACTGGCTGCTCCGGCTCTCCCTGGCCCTGCCCTGGCCGCCAGAAGCCAAAAATCACCAGCAGTAGATTTCTCTCTCTCTTTTCTTGATTGACTTCCTCCTCTTCCTCCTCTTCCCTCCAGATGTATCGGTTCCATCCAGCACCTGAAGAGCAGATTTGGCAAGGATTACCTGCTGGAGATGAAGGTGAAGACCCTCGCCCACACGGAGCCCCTGCACAGCGAAATCCTGAGGCTTTTCCCCCAGGCTGCTCGGCAGGAAAGGTAAATCCAGGCGGTGGTCTGTTTCACCTTGGTCTCGGTTTTATTTTCTATCTTCTCATTCTTTTTTTCTTTTTTTTTTTTTTAACTTTATGGTCATTGTGAAAAATTACTAGAGACAGTCCCGAACCCAAGGGCTACCTACCACACAAGAGAACAAAGTGCTCATTTGGAAACTGATTCTGTAAGGGAAGGTGCCAGGTACTAATAGGTACACATACCTAGTTCATTACAGTTTTCCTTTTAGAGCAGTGATTCTCAACCTTCTGGACCTTTAAATAGAGTTCCTCATGTTGTGACCCAACCATAAAATTATTTTCGTTGCTACTTCCTAACTGTAATTTTGCTACTGTTATGAATCGTCATGTAAATATCTGATATGCAGGATGGTCTTAGGCGACCCCTGTGAAAGGGTCGTTTGACCGCCAAAGGGGTCGCGACCCACAGGTTGAGAAACACTGTTCTAGAGGGTGAAGCCACACCCATTCAAGGAGATCAGCTGTATAACACCCAGTGCCAGGCAGCAGTCCACCTCCCTGAATGGTGTCTCTTAGTGTTTTTATTATCAGTAACATTATCAAGTATTGAGTGGCCCTGGAGGCACTGATAGGTTAGAGAATGCCAAATAACTTGTGGTGGGGCCAGGAGGTGAGCCTAGTCCTTTTTAGTTAAATAGGATTCTCACTTGGAGAGAAGAAGAATGATAAGTAATCTGCTTCTTCCCTTCCAGAGGGGTAGCCATGGTCCATTTCCTGCCCTTTGTCTCCCATTCCTGCCTAGAGTAAAAGGGGCCTCTTCTTAAGAGCCTTGAAATGGTTTTGCCTTAATACATTGACTTCTTGTTGTTCGGAGAGCATTCACACTGTGGCTGTTTCCAGCGCTATACAGACATGTCCATGCAAACAAACTATTGGTGCCATTGTTGCTCCTTTTCATTTACTTTTTACCTATGTCATGATTTTATTTTTTTCAATTACCGTTTACATTCAGTATTATTTTGCATGGGTTTCAGGTCTACAGCATAGTGGTTAGACAGTCATATACTTTATTAAGTGATCCCCCTGATATTTCCAGTATCCACCTGGCACTGTACATAGTTATTACAATATCCTTGATTATCTTTCCTATGCTGTACTTTACATCCCCGGAACTATTTGTAACTGCCCATTTGTAGTTCTTAATCCTTTCATCTTTTCCACCCAGCCTCCCACCCCCCCAAACCTGGCAACTGGCAAGATGTTCTCTGTATCTATGAGTCTATTTCAGTTTTCTTTGGTTGGTTGGTTCGTTAGTTAAATGCACATTAAAGCCACAGTGAGATACCACTTCACACCTGTCAGACTGTTGCTCCTTTTTGGATATTCACAAATCAGGGGTTGTACTCTTACAGCCCAGAGTTCAGCCTCACTCTTTTCCTTCCAGGTACTCCTCCCTGATGGTCTATAAGTTGCCTGTTGAGGATGTGAGACCTTTATCGCAGGCTTTCTTCAAATTAGAGATCGGTAAGAGCAACCATTTAGAGGTAAGACTCTGGGAAACAGCCCTAACCAGTTTGGCTCAGTGGATAGAGCGTAGGACTGAAGGGTCCCAGGTTTGATTCCAGTCAGGAGCACATACCCAGGTTGTGGGCTTGATCCCGAGTAGGGGGCTTGCAAGAGGCAAGCGATGATTCTCTCTCATTGATGTTTCTGCCTCTCTCTCCCCGCTCCCTTTCTATCTGAAATCAATAAAAATATATATATATATATATATATTTTTTTTTTAATGGATAAAACATAGATTTTTATACAATGGAAAAATGTATAGCTATGTAAATCAAATAACCCTACTGCATGCAACCACAAGGATAAATCTCACAGATGTAAAGTTGGGTGAAAAAATGATGCAACAACAACTGCATTTTAGAAAACTAGGGAGGGATTGTTTTAGATGGAGTACTATCAACAGAAATGTACACTTCGTAGCTACAGGAATACTGATAATATTATAGTAACTTGAAACATAAACATATACTTTTGTGTTCAAATTGGTCAACATTGGCAATTTCATATGTCCACTGGTTATGCTTCTATGCATGCATACAATTCCTTTAGTTGATCTCTTACCCCCCTACCTCCTGCCCCGCAACCCTCCCCGGCCTTCCTGCTGCAGTTTGACAATCTGTTTGAGGCAGCTCTGCCTCTGTATCTATTATTGTTCAAAAGTTTATAATGGTCTCCCATTTGACCCTGTGATCCCACTTCTAGGAATATATCCCAAGAAACCAGAAACACCAATCAGAAAAGATATATGCACCCCTATGTTCATAGCAGCACAATTCACCATAGCTAAGATCTGGAAACAGCCTAAGTGCCCATCAGTAGATGAATGGATTAGAAAACTGTGGTACATCTACACGATGGAATACTATGCTGCTCTAAAAAGGAAGGAACTCTTACCATTTGCAACGTCATGGATGGAACTGGAGAGCATTATGCTAAGTGAAATAAGCCAGTCAATGAAGGAAAAATACCACATGATCTCACTCATTCATGGATAAAAATATATATTTTTAAAAAGACTCTGGGAAACAGACACATTCAAAGATGAACACCTCCCTTCAGGCTGTTATGGGCCAATGTTCACGAGAGTACGACCACCAACTCCAATTAGGTCTTAAGCAGCAAGTGAGGATCTACGTAGGCGTGTTCTCCCACGACAACGCTGACCCTGGTTCTGGGCCAGCCTTTTATTCACAAAAACCATACAACAGTTGCCTAAACACACACAAAGTTACCTGGGGTACATTAATCAACACTGCCCCATTACCAAGGTATTCATTAATCAACTTGCCCCGTTGCCCCAACTACCCTCGACCACAGTTGGCTCCATTTCCCCAGTACAAGAGGGACTTAACTGTAACAAGGCATGTCTATTTTTTTTTATTTTTTATTTTTGCCTGTCATCAGTCATTGGAACCCTCCCTCAGGCATCCTAGTTCTTGAAAAGATCCTTCCCCTGGAGTTAAGCTTAGGATGGCCCCAGACAGGGCTTCTTTCCACCTTCTGATTCTGCCCTTCCCTTCACTCTGTGGTCTATGGGTCCATTTACCGCACTGACCATTTTGGCCTTTTGACCAATTTTGCAGCATTCCGGTAGGAAGGATTCCCACAATGGGGTCTGATCAACAGGAAGGATTTTGTAATTAATTAGAAGCAGGGAGAGAGATGTTCCAAGAAAGCTGCCTCCCTGGAATACAATGGAGCTTTTTCTTAAGGGCCTTCCTGTGTTTCTGCTTTCAAAAATGCCCCCTCCCTCCTCAAATGCCTTCTGATGAGCTTAGTTTGCTGAAATGGAAGTCCTGATTTAGGGGGTAAAAACAACTTTTTATGTTTCCTATCCTGTTATGTGAAGATTAGACAAAGTACAAGATAATCGAAATGTCCTAAGCTAGTGTTTTTCTCTCCAAATGTTAAGTTAGCCATAGTTACATTCTCAGCAGCAATGCATGTATTGAAATTCCAAGTAGCTTGGAAGCAAAAGGCATGCCCCATTATTATTTCTTTGCCTTGCTACATAGAGTCATTCTTGCATACAATCAGATCGCTTTGGGCTAATGCAAATTCCAGTGAAACTAGAGCCTCCCATGCCCCCTTCTTCCTTCAGATTGGAAGGCTTGAAGGTAGGGAGGTAGGATGGTCAGTTTTGTCTCTCTTCTTACCCTCTTCACCTCTACTCATAGGCTAATGGTTTAGGTCTCTCTAGGTCAAGTATAAGGGGAGGGGAGAAGAGATAACACGGTAGCAAAGCTTGATTTGATCATTAGTGCTGTCCTATGACAGCAGGGCCTGACTCCCTTTCTCTTGTGGGGTGCTTTTGTGGGTTCTTTGATGAGACCCTCTCCCCTCCAATCTTTAGCCTCTGACCACAGCATTCTGGGGGTGAGTGATGCCTCCTCCTCTTGGCCTCTTGGTACTTTTTTGCATGACTTTGGTACAATTTTCAGGATCCAAAATACATGACTTCCTAATGCCCATCCATCCATCTTGTGCAGTTAAACAGAGCTTCGACCTGGAGGAGTATAGCCTGTCACAGTCCACCCTGGAGCAGGTGGGTCCGCCTTAGAGATTTCTGTATCCCCCATGGAATATAAGGTGCAATGTGTGCATACCCTTTGCATGCACTCAGAGCTCCAGGAGGCAGTGTGACACCCTCTCTCTGTCTTTTCCTCCATGGCAGGTCTTCCTGGAGCTCTCCAAGGAGCAGGAGCTGGAGGACTTTGATGAGGAAGTTGATCTCTCTGTGAGGTGGAAGCTCCTCCAGCAGGAAGAGCCCTAAAGCCCCAAATACTCTGTATTGCCCTTTAGGCCTGTGACTCTTCTTAAGTTAACATTTTATAGCATAATGATACCTTTTCTCAGACACAGACAAGGTCCTTTGGAAATGAATGTTATGATTTTTTTCTCAGTAATATCACTTACGGTGGGACGAAAGAAGCCAGGCCATGCAGCCTCTGGACTAGCAGCCAAATTCCTTATTTCATGCAATAGCAAACGCAAAGAATACATTTATTACATTATTGTTTATGTTTATGAGAATGGTGCAGGGATTGCTTAATTTTTTTCTCTAAACTTTAAAATATGGGATTTTTTAAATCTTTTTTATTACAACACGAATTAAGATGATGCTGATTATAGGGGAAAGGGAGTCAGTTGACTACATGGCAGTACAGTCTTTGCTTTTTGTAATTCACTTTTATTCTCTTTTTTTACTTAATTCACTGATTTTCCTTTCCTGGAATTTTTAGAATTTTAGATTTTAGAGTCTGTGTTTTGCCTATTGTAACTATTAAGGAAATTTGAAACCCATTAAGATAAATAATTGCAGTAAGACACTGAGTAATCAGGTTGATGAAAAAATACATACATTTACATAAAATTTTGAAACATATTCCTGATTTTATGTTGGCTTATGATGCTAGGGTCCATCCACCCTGATGCAAAGCACTAGAACTTGAAAGATCTTAATTTCCCATGTCTGTACATGTTGTGATTTATTCAACTGGTAATTCTATAAACACCTTAAAATCAACACAATATACTTGTACACTCATACTTAGATGAGTTTTTATTGTTGTTGTTCTTGCTACTTTCATTGTTGCATAAGTCACTGAATTTATGGTAATTTGTTATGCAGCAATTAAAGTCTGATTTAGATATATAAAATAAAGTCATATTTAGAGAAGTTGACCTTCCCAAAGTCATAGGTCTCAGGACCCAGAATTCAAACCCAGGAGTCTTCTGATGACACCTACTTTAAGATATCACCAAGCAGTTGTTAAACATATGATTGAGGTTGCAATGAAGGTATAAAGAACATTCCTTCAACTTGAAGTTTTGGTTACCTTTCAGGAAGAGAATCTGAAGAACACAATAGACACTGTATAATCAGCTTCTAATTGTTATGGTATCAACTAGAACAGTGATGGCGAGCCTATGACACACGTGTCAAAGGTGACACGCGAACTCATTTTTTTGGTTGATTTTTCTTTGTTAAATGGCATTTGAATATGTATAATAAATATCAAAAATATAAGTCTTTGTTTTACTATGGTTGAGAATATCAAAAAATTTCTTTATGTGACACGGCACCAGAGTTAAGTTAGGGGTTTTCAAAATGCTGATACGCTGAGCTCAAAAGGTTTTCCATCACTGAACTAGAATGATACAAGGATTTGAAGATAAACACTACTTTTCAGCTTAAACATAGCCAATTACGATGGTAAATTCAGATGACCCAGTTGTGAACAACAGAAATGTAAAACCTTGATGCTGAAGGATTTTTTGTGCCCATGAAGAAAGGTAATTGCAGTTCATTTTCAAGAGAGTCACAGAAATGGATTATGTTGTTTGAATGGTACCGAGATCACTTGGAGATAAAATACAGTTGCCTCGTTTGTTGAATCATATTGAAATCAGCTGGGGCACTGTTTCTCCTCTGGTGCAGCTTCTTTACTGAAAATCTGGGGGTAAAGACAGCCCCACTTAATTTTCTATGTCGTTTAGAAAGAGACCAGCCGATGCTCACCAATCCCATTCTCCCTCTAAACAGATGGGAAGACTTCATTGTCCAGGCTCCCTTACAGCTACTCTGGGACCATCTTGTCTAGCCCCGGAATACAGAATATGGGCAGAAATGATGTATGCCACTCTGGGGCCATTACCTAACTTTCCTGCTAGATAGTTTATAAAGTTTCTCTTTCTCATATATGGGTCAGGAAATAAGGGACTCTGAGATGCAGAGACCACAATGGAAAGTACTCAGTTCCCTGAGTCACCATGTGGAGGTGAGCAGCCTAGGAGAGCCAGCTGGCCTGCATAGGACAGAGACATGAAATACACACACACACACACACACACACACACACACACACACTCTCTCTCTCTCTCTCTCTCTCTCTCTCTCTCTCTCTCTCTCTCTCTCTAAAACAAAACCAACAACTGAACCACTGCAAGGCACTCGTTGAACTACTGACATTATTGAGACTGTGGGGTTGTTACAACAGGCAGCTAACATTGCAATGACTAATAGAGTAGATCATGCCAAGAAAGGGGTGGGATTAAAACCTGAACAGGGCACTGATGCAATTGCCAAGGACATTTGAACTATCCCAAGCTGCCTGTCCCTGACCCTTGCCTAGATCAGGACTCTGCAAGGGTGCCCCTTCCCACTTGCTTATCTGTGCTGACTGTAACCAATGGATATTCCCGTCCATCTCAGTTTATCTCCACCAGACTGCCCTCAAGATGTTTAGATAGACAGTAGTAGCCTCCTGCTGTCACTGTTCATATCAATGTTGTCCTTGTTTTGGTCCTTGTTGAGTTATATCCATGGCAATTTCAAAGCAAGAGAGTTAAAATCTTGGGTTAAAACTGCTATCTTTTTTTAAATTTTAGTTTTTCAATTACTGTTGACATTCAATATTATTTTGTATTAGTTTCAGGTGTACCGCATAGTGGTTAGGCCATCGTATACTTTACAAAGTGTTCCCCCTGATATTTCCAGTACCCACCTAGCACAATATATCATTATTATAATATTACTGACTGTATTCCCTGTGCTGTACTTTACATCCCCGTGACTATTCTGTAACTACCAGTTTGTACTACTTACTCCCTGCACCTTTCTCACCCAGTCCCCTACCTCTCCTCCCCTCTGGCAGCCATCAGTCAGTTCAATGCATCTATGAGTCTATGCTCTTTTAAAACTGCTTCAAAACTGCCCTCTTGAAATGGAACTTTCATTATAAGTTTTGGAAATATTTTAATGTCTCTTCAAAATTGCTCTTTAGGCACGATCCAAGCCAAGACACCCAGGATGCTTTTGGATGAGTCTACCCCAATGGTTCTCCACCTGTGGGTCGCGACCACTTTGGCAGTCGAACAACTGTTTCACAGGGGTTGCCTAAGACCATCCTGCATATCAGATATTTACATTACAATTCATAACAGTAGCAACATTACAGTTATGAAGTAGCAACGAAAATAATTTTATGGTTGGGTCACAACATGAGGAACTGTATTTAAAGGGCCAGAAGGTTGAGAACCACTGTCCCTGTCTCATAGTGTAAAAAAACAAAACAAAACAAAAAAACAGGAAAGGATAGCTTAATTTGGATATGCAAAATATATATTGAGTGAATGCTTGTAGTGTTTGAATTAGAAGGTAAGAGTCATTTATTCAAAGGGCCAGATGAATGAAAACATTACAGCGATTATGAATAATTAATTTCAATAACAGTGGGCTTCTTTATTCTTATACTAGATGTGAATTTCTCAACAGTGGCACTATTGACATTGCCCTGGATAATTTCTTGTTGGGGGCGGGAGGAAGAAAGAGAAGCCGTCCTATGTACTGTAGAATTTTAAGTGGCATTCCTGCTTTAGATGCCAGTTGCAACCTGCCCTTGAGTGTGACAACCAAAAATGTCTCCGACATTGTTCAAATCATCCCCCTTGCACTAGAATGATGTGTCAGAAGAATGTTGGGGGAGGGAGGAGAGGCTGGTCAAGGAGATTTCCTATACAGTAGGTCCTCGGGTTATATCGAAGATCAGTTCCTATGGTACAGCATAATGCGATTTTTGCCGTAAGTCGGAATCCACCTAGGTAAGCACCTACATACTCACTTGGAGCACATACACAGCAGTGATGAAGTGAAACAGTAAAACAAATTTAAAAGAAAGATAACAATGCCTGACCTTTACTTGTGGTAAATAAATAATAAAAAACATAAAGCACATATGTACATACATCAAAATGATGGAATTTTTTTTAATATATAAACTAGAGGCCCAGTGCACAAAAATTTGTGCACTCGGGAGGAGGGGCCCCTCAGCCCGGCCTGTGCCCTCTCTCATTCTGGGACCCCTCGGGGGTGACCACTTGCTGGCTTAGGCCTGCTCCCAAGGGGATTGGGCCTAAGATGGCAATCAGACATCCTTCTGGCAGCCCGGCAGCCCTCGGGGGATGTCCACTTGCCAGTGGGGAGCAGACCTCAGCTGTAGTCAGACATCCTTAGTGCTGCTGAGGAGGCAGGAGAGGTCCCACCACCACTGCTGTGCTGGCAGCCATCAGCCTGGCTTGTGGCTGAGCAGAGCTCCCCCTCTGTGACAACGCACTGACTACCAGAGGGCAGCTCCTGCATTACCGTCTGCACCCTGGTGGTCAGTGTGTGTCATAGTGACCAGTCATTCCCAGTCTTTCTACTGTTAGGGTCAGTTTGCATATTACCCTTTTACTATATAGGATAGAGGCCTGGTGCACTGGTGGGGGCTGGCTGGTTTGCCATGCAGGGTGATCCGGATAAGGGTGGGGGTCCCGCTTGGGTGCCTGGCCAGCCTGGATGACAGGCTGATGGCTGTTTGCAGCTGATCATACCCCCTTCAGGGTGGGGGTCCCCACTGGGTTGCCTGGCCGTCTGGATGAGGGGCTGAGGGCCGTTTTCAGGCCGGTGGGCGACTGAAGCTCCCAGCCTCTCCTTTTTTTCTTTTCTTTTTTTAAATTCTGGGATTTATTTAACTTCTATAGCTGTCACTGAAGCTGAGAGCCGGATCCAGCTCTGAGGGCCGGCTCCAGCTCTAAGGCCGCAGCTGGCTGAAAGCAGGTATCTGGGGTTTGTTTGGCTTCTATAATTGAAACATTGTTGCTGTCCTGCTCGCTCCAGCTCTGAGGCTGCGGCTGGCTGAAAGCAGGTATCTGGGTTTGTTTAGCTTCTATAATTGAAACTCCGCTGCCATCACTGGCGCTCTCAGCTCTGAGGCCGTGGCCGGCTGAAAACAGGTATCTGGGATTTGTTTAGCTTCTATAATTGAAACATTGTTGCTTCTGGAGCTCAAAGCTGGGCCACAGCAGGCAGGGAACCTTGGCTTCCTCCATCACTGGAGCAAGCAAGCCTCATGTTTGCTTCAGCTGCGTGGCTGCCGGCCGCCATCTTTTTTGGCAGTTAATTTGCATATTCTGCTGATTAGCCAATGGGAAGCGTAGCGGAGGTATGGTCAATTACCATGTTTGTCTATTATTAGATAGGATAAATGGGAGATGACGATGTAACCACAAAACAATGTATGTCGAGTCCAACATAACCCGAGGACTGTTTGTATTTTATCTTGAGCAAGTAGAACTTGGTATTGTTTCCTGGGATTAAAAAAAAATAGCAAGAATGTGATATGGGAAGCAGAGAAGAATCCAGAATTTGCTTTTTAAAAAGTCCAACTCCTGATTAGATCGCCTGAGTCAGCAGGTCAGTGTAGGTCGCTCTTGGACAAATGCTTTTTTATTGACCTCTAGCTGTACTTGGTTGGCTGGCTGTATCGTAACATAAAGAAGTGTCTTATAGAGGGAATCTGATATTTGTAAATGTTCTTGTGCCTCAGACAAAAGGGGCTGATTTCAAAATATAAAACACTACCTTTACAAAAAAAAAGAAGAAAGTGGGTTGTGGCGGGGGGGGGGGGGCGGGGGGGGGGAAGGGGGGTGGAATCTCACTATTTAAATAGGAAGAAAGTAAAGAGCTTAGTCAGTGAAAAGCATTTTCTCCACTCGGGTTTTCTGGACCTTTGGATTGACTTCTTGACTCAGGCAATCTAATCAGAGTTTGAAGCTAATTTTGGATTCGGTGTTCTCCAGCCAAGAGAATTGCAGCCACAACCTCCCTCCAGAAAGCAGTCTGAATGAGACTTTTCAAAGCAGGGAAACAGTTCAACCATAATGCAGACATGTGTGAGGGTGGGGTAAAGGGGTAATGGCCACCATAATGAGAAGGTAAGTTCAGACTGAAGGTAGGTAGGCAACTCCATACACTATAACAGGACATATTACAGGGCAATTTACGTATGGGAAATTGGGCCGGAGTGAACAGATGGCAAAGCAGTTTTTCACAAATTATTCTCCTCAGACAGACACATGTTACAATATATTTTAAAATATATATATTTTTTATTGATTTTATAGAGAGAGGAAGGGAAAGAGACTTTCTTGATGAGGAGAGAAAGAAGCACCAATTGGCTTCCTCCTACATGACCCCTACATCGATCCCGCGACCTAGGCATGTGCCTTGACTAGGAATATACCTGGCTTTCTTACAATTGTTGTGGTAGAAACGTTGATCTGACATAGTCTGCTACATCTACCCCAAATCAGAAGCACCCAGCCAGCTTCTGTTTGAAGTTCATAGGTCTTTGAATATTTGCAAAAGGTCACAGTACTATGAACTCAGTGGCTCAATTATGTGTAAACTAGAGGCCCAGTGCATGAAATTCATGCAATCTGGGGGAGGGGAGTCACTCAGCCCAACCTGCACCCTCTTGCAGTCAGGGAGCCCTTGGGGGATATCTGATGGATGGCTTAGGCCTGCTTCCCAAGGAGCAGGCCTAAGTCATCAGTCGGACATCCTTAGAACTAATGCAGAGGTGGGAGGGGCTCCCGTAACCACCACTGCCCTCACCAGCCGTGAGCCCATTTTCTGGCCAAGTGAGCCTCACCTTGTGGGAGCACACTGACCACCAAGGAGCAGCTCCTGCATTGAGCATCTGCCCCCCTGGTGGTCAGTGTGCGTCATAGCGACCGTCGTTCCCCCGTTTGGTCAATTTGCATATTAGCTTTTTATTATATAGGATCATTTATGCAAGAGAAAACAAAGACTCAATGCACATGAATCATAGCATGTTCTGGTTAATGTGCCCCCAAAAAATTTCATTAGAGTAAAGAATATTGAAATGATAGAGAAGTCATCTGGTCAGCTGGTCAAAGATAGTGGGAATGACATTCATATCAGACGAAGTAGCCTTTGGAGCATAGAAAGTTACCAGGGATAAAGATGGGCATTACATAATGATAAAAAGGCCAAGAAGACACAACCATCCTAAACGTGTATGCACCCAATACCACAATTTCCAATTACATGAGGCAGAATCTGTTAGATCTGAAAAGAAAAACAAAGTCTCTAATTATTGGTAAAATCTTCACTACTCTTCTTCCAGTAATCAATAGAACCAGTAGACAGAAAAACCAACAACAACAAAAAAACAAACAGAAAAACTTAGCAACTAACTAGATTTTATGACATTTATATAAGACTGCACTCAATAGCAGAATATACCTCCTTGCATTTGGAATATTCACCCAGCCAGATGACATCTTGGATTGTAAGGCAAGTCCTAATCAATTTGACATAAAAAATAAATTTCCTGACTATAATAGATTTGAACTAGAAATCAATAACCCAAAGATAACAGGAAAATCTACAGAGACTTGGAAAGGAAACAACACATTGCTAAATAATTCATGGCCCAAAGAGTAAGTCTCAAGGGAGATTAGAAGATACTTGGAACTGAATGAAAATGTGAAATAGAGGAGTGAAAATCCTGATTTCCCAGGTGAGATTATCAATTGGGCAGTCGAGAGTTTTGTGTAAAGAGGAGCTTCCCTCTGATGAAACTGTTTCTTTTCTCATGGTTTGAAGACAGTGCTTAAAAATTTTGATGTGAGCCACCATCATCTTGGCCAAAATAGAGGAAAGCTTATGCATATTGGATTTCCTCTATCAGGTTGCTCTTTATAATGTGATACAGAGTATATATGCCAGTATAATATTACACCGAGAATATTGATTTCAGAGAGAAGAAGGAGGAGGGAAGGAGGGCTAGAAACATCAATGAGAATAATTGATTGGCTGCCACCTTCATGCCCCCTACTGGGCATTGAGCCCATAGTCTAGGCGTGTGTCCTATCCTTTTTGATGAGTCGACACTTAACCACACCAGCTGGGCATCTAGATAAATCTTACCCTGTAAGTCAGTGACCAAATAACTCACATTTAAAACAAAATGTTCTGGAGAAAATGACTGGATAGACAGATAATTTGCAGCATGGGTGGAGACCTTCCTATTTCCACAATCTGCTTAGGTTGGAAGAAATCCTCTGCAACTAAACCAAAGGGCTTCATCCACCCACACCCTCACTCAAAGCACCAACTCCAAGAGCCAACCCTCACTGTGCAAGATTAAGTTCATCTTCACTGAGCTCAATGAATTTTCTATTTGGCAAGTTAGGCATGGGCTCAACTTCCCATTGAATATGGTGCACTCTTATTTTCTTTCCCAAACTGCTAGTCTTTCGCCTTACAGTTGTTGGACAGTTGCTGTGCAATACCACCTAACAAGCTCCCTTTAAAACATAAGGAAATGGCCAGGCTGTTGTGGCTCAGTGGTTGAGTGTCAACCTATGAACGAGGAGGTCATGATTCCATTCCCAGACAGGGCCCATTCGTGGGTTGCGGGCTCGATCCCCAGTATGGGACATACAAGAGGCAGCCGATCATTGATTCTCTCTCATCATTGATGTTTCTAACCCTCTCTCTTACTGCCTTCCTCTCTGAAATCAAAAAAATATATATTTTTTAAAATAATAAAACACAAGGAAATGCTTTGGAGTTAAACAATCACCTGGGGACTACAAAGAGTAGTGCCTGAATACACCGAAAAGAAAAAGAAAAAAGGAGACTATTGACTTTTGGTCCTCTGATTCAACTATAAGACCCAGCTGCCTTTTTTTTTTAATCCTCACCCAAGGATACATGTATTGATGAGAGAGGGAGGGAGGGAGGGAGGGAGGGAGGGAGGGGGAGAGAGAGAGAGAGAGAGAGAGAGAGAGAGAGAGAGAGAGAGAGAGAGAGAGAGAGAGAGACATTGATCAGTTTCCTCCCATATAGGCCCCTAGCAGGGATTGATCCTGAAATCTAGGTATGTGCCTGACCAGGAATGGAACCAGTAACATTTTGGTGCACAAGATGATGCTCAACCAACTGAACCATTCTGGCCAAGATCAAATATAAAGTCTTATCTACAGAAAAGATGACTCCCGTCAATCTCTGTGGGAGTCTGAAATAGTTTATCTGGTTTTTAGTTAATTGTTTCCATGGTGCCAACTCCATCTCAAAGTGACTGCAGATTTAGCTAAGTAATTTGCTGCTTTTTTGTCTTTATTCAGATGCCTTCAGTAGACCCTGATTAGAGATCAAATATGAGACGTTTCCCATGTCTTCGATAAGTCTGTGGCTAATGGAGAGAGGAACAAAGGCATGTTATTGTGCAATTAGAATTATCTAAGGAGATTGCTATCAAAGACTGAGGCAGGTTCTAACGTAGTTACAGAAAATTGTTGCTTTTTGAGCTTGTGAAAAGAATATTACCCTTGAGATAGTATTGATTTTTAAGTAGGATAATCAGTTGGGAAATAGACTTTTAAAACTTTTTTTTTAAGTTTTTAACTTTTTCTTGGGTCTGCTACTTGGTAAAAAATAAGAGTATTCTGAAACTCTCATGCTTCTGTTAACTCAACTGAAACACTGAGAATGAAGATAAAATATAATTACTCAATTTTACAAAAACACAGAGAGAGAGAGAGAGAGAAATAGTCCAAGGGCAGTCACATGAGTGTGCTTATTGGCAGGCCAACAGAACTGAGATCATAGCTTCTGAAAATAGTCTCCCCAGGAACTTTCTACTGAAGCCAAACAGTTAAAGCAAAATCTATAGATGTGGCCGAGTTCAGGAAAGAATATGACTTGCTTCCTTCTTTAAAAGGAGACCACTGGGTATGATGTGTTTCTAGATTATGTGCTTCACGTTTCTCAAAGGTAGGTTCATTGTCTTTTTCTGTTTTGTTTGAAGGTGTGTGTGTTTTTTTTCTATCACAAAATTATGAATGAGTCTTTAGGAATTGAAAGCCAACTATCTGTAGAGAAACTATTTTGAAAATGAATGGACTATTTGGATGTGTTTGGACATCTGGTAGTTAAAATTGTAAAGATGAAAGCATTGAGTTATAACATACGTTTTTTTAAACGTTTTGCAACTGTTATGTGGTTTTAAGCCAGAAACTGAATGTAGGAATAATCGTAAATCTGTTCAGAGATTGCAGAGAACTAAGAATACTGAGAATTCATTTGTAAACCTAGATTGTCTTTGAAGGTCTTTACTTTCATTGCACAGTAACGCGGGGGCATTGTGATAAACTTCTTTTTCTGACTTGGAGTCTGTTTATGAAAAACATTTACAGAAACACAGGGGTGGGCAAAAGCAGGTTGACAGTTGTGCGAACACAAAGCACACCATTTGTTCTTGTGTCATAATTATTTGCTAATTATTGTCTCATTTTCCATACGATAGGCTGTGAACCTGCCTTTCGCACCCTGTATGTCTATTGTTCCTGCCTCTCACGCTTGGGTTCTAAGGACTTTAGAAATGAAAGCTGCCTTCCTGGGTTTTCTGCTCTGTGCACACCACGTACTGGCTCCAAATGTGAAATGTGCAGCTTTTCCTCATCCCAGCGCTCATAGGCTTTGCAGGACACAGAGCTTTCGCACGCCTGCGGTGTAAACATTTTGTTCTGAATGCAGCAGCCATAGGACAGGGGGAGGATCAGAGTTGGTACCTTTGAAACTGCCTACTGCTTGTATAAAAAGGTTGTTAGTCTTTGGATAAACTCCAGAACATATACGTAAGTTCAGGAAAAATGCAGTAGGCGATGCTAACTTACAATGGAAAGGCTAAGGGGCTGGAGCCACACTGACATTTTCACAGAGAGGAGATCACCCTCTGGGCCAGTTTACCCACCTGCACAGCCCTGCACAGTTGCTTTAAAAGTGGTTATTCTGGCCCTGGATGGTTTTGCTCAGTGATTAGAGCATTGACCTGCAGACCAAAGGGTCACAGGTTCAATTCCTAGTCAAGAGCTCATACCTGGGTTGCAAATTTAATCCTCAGCCCCAGTTGGGGGGTGGGTTGGGGTAGGGGAGAGTATGGGAGGCAACCAGTTGATGTGGCTCTCTCACATCAGAGGGAGTGAGGGTTTTTTTAAGTGGTTACTCTGATTTCTCTGCACTAGACCATCTATGGGGATCCTGAGCCCCTCTCACTGGACACCCTCACCAAATGCTTTTTTCCAAGAATCTCTTCTTCCCTCCGCCTGCCTCTCCATGGGCTCTCCAACCTCTTCACTCAGTCCTCTCCTCCCTAGTCTTGCCTCTCAGCCTCATGAAGCATCCACGTGTAGGTTCTTCCTCTGGCAATGCCCTCTGAGCCTGTCTTGGCTAATAAGCCTGATGTTGGAACCAGCTTCCAGACCCATTTCTCGAGCTTTATATCTAGGAAATAGCACAGCCCTGGCAGCATCTTCTCCCACGAATGGAATGAGAGCTTCAGGCAGGGGCACACTCACCCACTTGTTATCACGATGGAGGAGTCCATGACAACGGCCTGCTTGCTATCCCTGGCCAATGTTGTGTACACATAGAGGGAGTAGACTACTTGCTCCAGGTTCAGGACTTAAAAGCCAAATTCAGGGGGGAGATGCTGCTCTGTGCTCAAAAGTCCTGACCTAGTCTTCTGAGTCACCTGGCATGCTTCCCAGAAAAATAGAGATCGTCCCAGAATCCCCTTACTTCCTAGAAATCAGCTCAGGTGCACAGTTTTCTCCTGCAGTGAGCTTTGTGAGCATTCCCATCCCACGGCGTTCAGGGCAGGCTCAGCAGGTCATGTTGTGTGATACTGGTTATGAGGCAATGGGAAGATGTGGCACAGTTTTAGGCATTGAGGCACCTCCTTCTGGGAGGTATTCCAGGTCCTTGCTGAAAAAAACACAACAAAAACTATGTATAAATTCCCCTACCTAATCCTCACCACCACAACTCCAACACTCTCTCCTCTCTCTCCTGTGCTCAAGGTTGCATTTGCAAAAACTGTGACTTGCTACTTTTACCTGGAGGAGGGCTGTGGTCTACTGTGTATTCCTGGTGCAATATCTACAGAAGCATAACGCTGCTCTCTGCAGACAATTTTGGGCAGAGTCCCTGGACTGTTTTCACAATAAGCTGGCCTTCACACAAGTCAGAGGGTTCTGGCTTTTTCACCCAGCTAACGCCTGTCTGAGCGCAGTCAGGTGGAATTTCTACCTCATCTGGAGCCCAAGCTCAAATGCATGACAGCCTCCCCATAGGAACCTATACAATCTATAGGCAAATCTGGAATTACAACTAAAATACAAAATAACCATCCTGAATAAACAACAACGAAAGCAAATAAATAATTCTTTTAAGTTTTAAAAGTTTTCATTTTTTTTAAAGAGTAGCCATGATATCTTTAGGATAAGAGGGAAAACATGGAGAGGAGAATGAAAGGTTGATAAAATTTAGCAGAAGGTAAGAATGTGGGAAAAACTAGAGGCAAAGAAAAACCAGGTTTAACATGAGTATAAAACACAATGAAAGAAAAATCCTCCAAAACGAGAACTTATTCGTGAGAAAGATGGGGGCAGGGGGGAGCAGGTCCAGTAATAAAATGCTAACTTTGGAACACTCAGGTACTAGGCACTCAGATTCAGAACACTGGAGTTCTCAGGCTGCTCATTTGTGTGTTTGCAGGATTTTTTTTTCCCATTAAGACCTTCATATATGCTTTACCTTCTCCCCTTTTCTTTTCTTAAGAAACAGCACAACATGAATAAGAGAGAGAGAAGTGTGTGTCAACAAACTGGGGCCTTATTATGCAAGAATTTGCTTAAAAAATGGAGAATGAAAAGGGAGTCCTTACTGGTATGATTCAATATCTGTTTCTCTTCTTTCTCTATTTATGATTGAAAAATATCCATTCATTGGGAGGTAACTCTGTTTATTTCCCCCCCCCCAAAAAAAAGCAAAACAAAACAACACCTTTATACAATAGAAGAAATCTTTCACAAGGTATTTTGATAACAAACTCATCATTTGAGGTCTGAAGGCACTGAAGTTGGTCAGCAGCAGAGAACCCAATCAATTTTTAAAAGTCAATGGTCACACTTTTTTAAAAAAATGTATATTTTTTTAATTTCAGAGTAGAAGGGAAAGAGAGAGAAAGATAGAAACATCAATGATGAGAGCAAATCATTGATTGGCTGCCTCCTTTGCACCCCCCACTGAGGATCAAGCCTGCAAACCAGGCATATGTGCTGACCAGGAATCAAACCTGTGAACTCCTGGTTCATAGCCCGATGCTGAACCACTGAGCCAAAATAGCTGGGCAATGGTCACACTTTTTACCAGTGTTCCCACTCATAGATCCTTGGGTTAGGATACTGGTATTATGAAGATGTGGTAAACAAATCAACCCACAGAAATAGTAATTGGCACTTTTCTATTAAAAAAAATATTATCTTCAAAATTAGTGGATAATTTGGAAATGTGATCAGTGCCAAGAAGAAAATTAGTATTAGAACTTATAATTTTACCATATAACAAAGATTCTGGATAAACTTTGATATTTAAAAAAAGAAAATCAGATAGTCTTAGCTAAGTAGCACTTTTCACTAAGGAGGGATTTTACTGTGTATCTATTGTGAAATTTTTTCTACAATCATGCCTTTAGGGAATAGAGTGATTTCTTATTGGTAGTGTTTAAGTGACTAGTATTGATAACTAACAAGATAGTGTTTCTCAGGTCTCCAACATACTGTTGAGTTTCCAATACTAGAATCTTGGAATGAAACCAATACATAGCCATTAATTGTGCAATGCCTTGAAACTGTCTCTTACAACATGCGCTTTCAGCAGAATCAAATACAGGCATTCTTCGGAGGTATGCGGGATCAGTTGCAGGCCTCCGTAATAAAGTGAGGATCACAATAAAGCTCTTGGTAATCTTTCTGCTGGTGGAGAGTCTTGCCTTCAACTTGTAAAAATGCACCATCTGTGAAGTGCAGTAAAGCAGAGCACAATAAAACGAGATCTGCCCGCACAGCATGAGTAGGTCACCACAGTACTATCAACTGATAATTTATAATAGCTTGCCACTTTTGCCTCTCATATTGCATGATCAGTGCATGCATTACATTGGCGCTGTGGTTCAAAACACTTAAATTCCTAGTAAGCCCTAGCTGGTTTGGCTCAGTGGGTAGAGTGCTCACCTGAGGACAAAAGTGTCCCGGGTTCAATCCTGTCAAGGGCACAGAGCTTGGCTGCAGGTTCCTCCCCGGCCTGGGCCCTGGTAGGGCTCAGGCAGGAGGCAACCAAATGATGTGTTTCTCTCACATCAGTGTTCCTCTCCGTCTTGCCCTCTCTCTTCCACTCTCCCTAAAAATCAATGGGAAAATGTCCTTGGCTGAGGATTAACAAAAAAAAATACACAAACAAAACAAATAAACTCCTAGTAATAGTTCATTGATATTACCCAAACTGCTGAAATTTGTACTGTCCATATTGTAAATGGTTCAGAATGTGGGCTATATTGAAATGAGAAAAGTGAACGAGACAAACTGTATGACCAAATGATTGTGGGTGACTTATTTGAAATCATCATTTTCTTTATATTTTTTTCTCTTGCATTGTGTAGGAATGGTTGAGCTCATTGCTCCTACTGCTTTTTTTGTACCTATATCCTATTAGTCATCAAGTCACTGATTATTCTTCACTGCCTACCATGGACCTGGGACGGGTAGATTCATTTAAACCATCTACTACACTTATGATTGCATACACACCTCTCACCAATATAACCCAACAGATAATGAAAAAAGTTGCCTTGGCCTCCAGTATAAATGGTGAGTTTTCTAGTAATCTAAGAGGAATTTCTAATGTCAATAGTTGGTTCATTTGACTGCAGGTGTGTGCATTTAATTTGTATTTTTGTTCATAACTATATCAGTTGTCACCATTTCTAGGTAATGAGAGATGTGAATGTATTTTCCCTTTCCAGAGCATAAGAGGCCATATCTAAGTCAAAACTATGAATGTATTTCTTGCCAAGCAAGGGATTACCACTTGCAGTGTGCAGTCTTTCAACAAAGAAATCGGCTGATGTTGTGTAGGTTTTGGGGAAGCATGGGATACACAAATGGGTAGATGTTGAAAAGGAGGAGTGTTTAGCGATTTGTTGACTTGTAGCTGTGGAAGCTTTGTTACTGGAATGAGACGGTTGCTCTAGTATTTGCTTATTATTATATCCAAAAAACAACCAGTCTTTTCTCCTCTTAAATTTGATTATAGGAATTTTATTCTCACTTTTCAATACCAAAATGATTATCTAACTATATTTGAAGATTCTGTTGAAGAGTATTCTGAGTTTTAGTAGTTCACCCTTTAGTGGTGAGGTACTTATCAATGAAAAATAAGATGAGCATTCTTACTGTCAAGATCGTGTCTGCAACAATTTCCTGAAATTTGAGGAGAAGCAGCCTAGAGCAGAGGCAAGATAACTGGACATAGAGTCAGAGAGCATTTGACGAAAGTAGTTCTGTGTTATGTCTATAGAATATTTTACAAGTCATCAACTTCTCTGAGTCTCACCACCATATTTAAAATAAAGTTAACAGTATTATATTTTTCATGAATATTCCAGTTGAGAATGAGGGAGTTCCAATTCATCTTGTGGTAAGGAAAAGGGGCATCTTTTGTGCAGCTTCAGGAAAAAGAGTATCAAAGCACAGCTGGATAGGTGAGTGTCAATAGCAGAGGAAGAAATATGTGTCTACTTCTCAGGTCTAAAGCAATGTGTGCTGCCTTCATTCACAGGTAGGCTCCCCCCAAAAGACGCAGAGTTAGTCTTCAGAATCTCCCGTGTTAGCCCCAACACATAAACAGATCTTTCCCAACAGTTCTAATTTTGGAAAATATACCCATGAAACAAATGGTCTTCTTTAGATAAGTCTGGATCTTGGTCCGTCAGGAACTAATCTTGTTGGATAGGGAGAGAAAAGTATTGTCATTGTCCATTGGTTGGGTTTCCAGGTCCCCCTGTGAACCACATCCAAACCACAGGATATGTGAATGGAAGAAGGGCAGTATCATAGATAAATGTTAAGGTGTTTATTAGAATGAGGACTGGATGTCAGGTAATTAAAGCAACTGTTTTGGGGTTTTTTTACAAATATAAACGCACACTTCAAAGAGGAGTCTATGGAGATTGCCCCATAAATGTGAATTGAGTTATAATTTGACAGTGGCTTACTGCTTGCACAACTTTGTGACTATACTGAAAATTATGAAATTGCACAGTTTAAAAGGGTGACTTTTATGGAACTAAATGTCGAATTTTTTTAAAAAAAGAATAGAAAAACATGACTTGGGATGGACTCGGTATTTATTTCAGGCACCATAATTCTCTACCAAGAGTTTATTATTATAAACTAGTTGCCCATTGCGCAATATTGCTCAGTAGGCTGCTCACTGCTTCCACAGGAGCTGGCAGGAACCGCAGTGCACCACCAGGAGCTGCCAGGAGCTGCGCTGCTTCCACCGGAGGCAGGAGGGAGCCGTGCTGATTCCGTGGGAGGTGGGAGGGAGTCAAGCCACTTCTGCTGGAGCATGGAGGGACTCGTGCAGATTCCGTGGGAGGCAGAAGGGACCTGTGCTGCTTCTGCGGGAGGCAGGCCTGCCATCTCCTCTCTGGGCCTGTGCTCAGCTGCGGTGGCTGCAGGCCAGCCCCCTGTCCCTGTCCATGCCTGTTTCAGCCAGAGCCACCTCCAAGCCTTCGCGATCAGGATCACGGGTCACAGGCAAGGTGGCTTCTGGGTCCCGGGGGTGCCGCCTTGCCTGCTGCCCAGCTTTCCGATCATGGTCACTGGCTGGGGACGGGCAAAGGCACCCTGGTTCTCTGATCCAAGGCCAGGGGGCAGGGCAAAGGCGGCCCTGGTGGCTCTTGCCTGCCACCTGTGTTTCCGATCATCGTTCTTCAGACCTTCCCCTTTCACCTCCCATCATTGTGCCTAGAAATGCAAATTAACCGCCATCTTTCTTGGCATTTAATTTGCATATCACCCTGATTAGCCAATGGGAAACGTAGCGAAGGTATGGTCAATTACCCTGTTTGTCTTTTATTAGATAGGATGCAACCTGACTTGCTCCACCCAGTCACTGGAAGTTATAGAATTAATGTCTCTTCTTTTTGTCAACCTCTGTGCATAATTCCTCTCTGGCCTCAGTAACCATGCATTTTGTGTTTGGATTCTGACTCCATATCTGAACTCAGTATCCAGAAGTCCACCCGCTCTGCAGTCTGTATTCATGACTGCACATCCCAGATTATGTGTACTTTTCTTTCCTGTCCTTGCTTCCCTGCACACAGGCCAGGAGGGTGGGTGTAGACCTCCATAGCTTTCCCATGGTGCCGCATGGAACATCACACCATTAGTTTCACTTGAATCTGAATATCTACATTGTGCATCTTGCCTGCAAACACTGAATCTGCTTTTGATTCAAGATCTTAACTTGCTCTGCCTGACAAACTGAGGCCTATTCTTCCTGTCTACCCTGAGATGGGTTTGTTCCTACCCTGTTTCACAGTGTCTTCCTAGGGGTCCTGATGACATGAACATGTGCTTCTCAACAACACCTTTATTAAAAGTCACAGGCAATTGCAATAATAAATATTCATTAAATGACTATTGTGTGCTAGATCTTTACATGGAGTTTGTCTTCACAATGAATGTGTTATCTTTATTTTACAGTAAGGTCATTTGAAATAATGATAATAAATATTCATGAAATGCTACTATGTGCTAGAGTTGTAGACTTTATTCTATAAGTAGGATATTACTCTATAATATTAATAGTATTTTTCTGTATTATATTTATCTGTACTATGCTTACTATTCTGTACTAATAATAATTGATATTAAGTTTATTTTACAAATACAGAAATTGAGTAAAAAAGGTTAAGAAACTTACTCATGATTATAACATATTTAATGAAAAATATTATCCAAGGGGGAATAATGTTAATTCTATCAAAATACATGCTACCTCCACTTTGATCTTTAACATTCCCACCCCAATCCAGAACTTTTCTTCCATTTCTTCTCATTTTTCAGTCTTACTAAAGCATCTGTATGGCATCGAACACAATATTAGCAAAAAAGACGGATTATTTTAGTTATATCAACATAAGCACTCACATAGTTTTTGTTTTAACTCTTTTTTTTTCCAGCATATTAACCATACTATGAGGATTGCTCAAGAAAAATGAAGTTGCATAGTTATTTCCACCTGATATAAACCAGTACCTAATTGTCATATACATATATAAAATTTTAGATTTATTGTAATGCTAATTCTTCTGTGAGCGGTTTAATTGGCATGGTATATTATACATAATTAATACTGGTTCAATAATTCCAACATATGAAAATAATTTTTATGTATGTCTTCTGATTATACACTCTCTGGATAAAATTATGGAAATGTCTGTCCCACGAGCCAGCATTGCTCAGTGGTTGAGCATCAGCCTATGAAGCAGGAGGTCACAGTTCGCCTCCCAGGTCAGGGCACATGCCCGGGTTGTGGGTTCAAACCCCAGTGTGAGACATGAAGGAGGCAGCTGATCAATGATTCTCTCTCATCTTTGATTTTTTTTCTTTCTCCCTCTTCATTCCTCTCTGAAATCAATAAAAAAAATATTTTTAAGTAGAAATGCCTGTACCCAACTTTGTGCCTGACTTACTCCAAATCAATATTTGATTTAATTTTATTTCCATAAAGAACTTTAATAAAAGCAATTGAATGTGAAACCTGATGTTAGTCTCCTAAGAAATTATCTATAATAATAAAAGAATAATATGCTAATTAGACCGGACATCCTTCCGGATGACCTTCTGGACGAATTCGGGGCTCCAAGGGAAGCCCATGTCCCCGGTGCCTGCAGCCAGCCAGAGAGAAGTCTGGGTCCTGGGTGCAAGAG